TGAAGGGAGTCTTAGATCCCTGGCGATCTGGTTATTCCGAACATACCAAGGAGATCCTGTCACCATTCTCGCGACTTTGTTTTGTAATGTTTGTAATCTGGTGATATGAGATTTAGCTGTGTGGCCCCAGACTACTGGGGCATACAGTAAAATTGGCCTGATAGCCATGATATAAATATTTAATTTTTGTCTCAAACCCAATTTACTTCGCCTGTTTAGAAATGGATACAAGACTCCAATGGCTCGTTTAGCTTTAGAAACTTGCTGTTCAATGTGCTGGGCCCAGGTGAGCTTTTTGTCAATGCACACACCTAAGTATTTAACTTGTGAAGACCACTCTAACTCATGACCATCCAGGACTATTCTGGTTCTGGGAGGCCTCCGCTCCCTTCCGAGTGCGACCAATTGTGTTTTTGTAGGATTCAATTTGATCTTCCATCTCAGGAAGTACTCCTGAAGAGAATTCAGTGCGCTTTGGAGGTTCATAGCTGCTTGCTCGAAATTTGTCAAATATGCAAGAACTGCCGTATCATCAGCAAAAAGCGACATCTTGCACATCACTGGTCTTGGCAAATCGCTAGTATATAAACTGTACAACAGCGGAGATAAAACTGCACCCTGAGGAACACCAGCTTCAATGGGCTTGATACCAGATCGTTGATCATCAAGTTTTACTTGAAAAGTTCGATTTTTCAGAAATGAACACATCAACTGAATCAAATTAAAAATACACTCATGAGCAATTTGTTGACATAGATGTATAGAAAGGCAAATGGTGTTATCACTTCCTATTGAAAGGAGTTTCGAAATCTCTTGATATCGCCTACTTTGTTAAAATAGCGAGGCGTGGGAGAATCTTGCTAAATTTCCGAAGTTTCAAACCAAATTTACAGGCATCATGACACATTCATTTGAGTTCACGTTTTCATTTTCACAATTCTTTGTTCAAACGGAAACGGTGTGTTATATTTTCGACTTTCAATGGTGAATTCATGAACGACACAAAGTCCTAACTCAAGAAAATACTGTGATAATCGTTTATTTACTCACTTTTGGTACATAAACTGAAACGAATGTTCGGATTTTCAAATAATCCATGATGAAAGCACAATACAATCACTCAACTAATAATATAATATCAATACCTGCTTAATAAACTACTAATGGTTTTAATTTATAATATTTCTATTTCAAATTTGAACAAAACCCTGGATATGCCGAAATCATGACACACGTGACAGATATCTCAATAAGATCAAGATGTTCCTCCACGGATTATTTGTTGCGTCCTGTCTCTAGATGCTTCTTATAAGCTATTATTGAATTTGTGCATCATTAACGGGACTCTTCGGGTCTCGAAAGAAGGAAAACACATCCTTGAAAGTCTAGTTCAACTTCATAATAAGATTCAAAACGAATTTTGAAAATTTTCAAGAAATTGTCCTTCACGCCATCTATCATCGAATATGAGGACCAAACGTTCCGAACTCGTATTCAATTGTTCATATCGAGAGCTAGTCTGACGAAACAATTGAAGAGTGAGCACACCAGGAGAATCATAAACATCTCACTGTTGACATTTCGTATTTGGATGAGTTATTGATTAAATGGCCGTCATCTGGTGTGATTGTTCACTAAATATGAAAAACTCGTCATGAAAACATATTTCGCATTGAATTGAATGTTCTATATAAAAATGTGTCATTGACACCATGAGCATAAAAAGTGTCCAATGACAAAATAAGAAGAGCAAGTAGCTGTAAATGCATCCAAGGCAGGAGAAAAAGAAGGCGGAATTTCAAAATTTTTCTTGAAATATATCGATGAATTGTGGTTTGTTCATATTTTTATTATCAAATTCGGGTTTTTCAGACAAAAATGCGTAGGAAACAAACAATATTTTCGATAAAAACCCATCGCATGATAAGTGCAAAATTACCGCGATCGATACGAGACAAAACGATAATGTATTCAATTGTTATGCAACGAAATCGTGTAATAAAGAACAATAAAACATTTGAACCGAACGATAAATAACTCAAGAGATAGCAATCAGATAGCGGCCACATAGAAAGAAGAAAAAAACGTATCGAAAAAGAATGCCTGAACTAGGGTCAAATCTATAATAACTCGAAGCAAGTATAACAATAGTCTAGGAGCACGATCTGTCTCGTCTCCGCTAAATAGAACGTTGTTCTTCGTTGAGATAAAGGCTGATTGAGGATTTTGATTTCGCCAGATATCGAAACTCAAACGCTATCGACTATCTGGCCAAGAGTCACCCCCTGCTAAGACTAAATCACATGCGTAATCGAGATCTCGTGAACAAGATACTGCCTACTGCCAGTATAATCTATATCGAAGGTATATTCACAATTACTAATAGGAACCCACTCGCAAAGCTACCTTACAAATGTAGTTTAGAACAGCAGGATCATCATGCCTTTAAACCATAGCGGTATTTTGCCCGTACCACTGACTCTCCAATTAATTATTTCTCGTTTGATAGCAAAGAATCTACTCTCCAAGTCAACTCAAACCGATTCTTTGCAAGTTATTTGACATCTTGTACAATTACTTCAATTCGGGCGTTTTCCATCCTGATGCTGGAAAATAGCTAGCGTCCAACCAATCCCCAAAAAAGGGAAGAAAAACCTGCCCAACAACTATACAGGCTGATTTTAAAATGAGTGCATATATTCAAGACATATATATGAGAGAGTCTAACAAAAATTACTAAAATATTTGATTTTTCCTAAGTCTTCACATTAACGAGAAATTTCATTTTGAAAATTGAACATAAAATGCTTCGAAATTCGAGTACGCCACTGGGAAGCAAGTGAAATTTGCGGAATCCTAGGGAATCCACAATTCGTCATTCACTAAAGTCAAAACAAGACAGTGATGCCAGATTGTTTCAGAGACGAATATCCTGATAAAAATTTGTCACAGAATGAACATGAATTGAAATAGGTTATGGAAACTAATAGAGGTGAATGTAATATGTACAGGAGCCTTATTTTTTAAAGTTTACTGAGAGAACTGTGGGTTGATTATCTCCATGGATCACGAGAGACGGAGAGAAACATGAGGGGAATGATAGAACGTCCCCCTTACTTCAATTCGAAAATAAGGCCCCAGCGGGTAGATACAAAATTAGCAGACAATAAATAGGTACACAACATACACAAAGTTGAAAATCGACTCACCTAGTAGATTTTCTCATACCTGCTCGAACAGCAAAACTCCCGAGAGCAAACAAATACTAATATCGAGTCCATTCCATCTAATTATTTTATTTTTTATTTTACGTTTACAATTATTTCACAAACCAGCCGACACAAACAAAACTATATCATATGATCTGTCAACATCATTTCTCAAAACAGCAGTATCTGACTATCTGTGACCATAGATTTCCTCTTTGCTGTGACCTTTGACAGTACTAACTAGGATTGTTCGCGTTCTATTACTATTTCACGAAGATTGTTACGATATTACGATTTGTCATGATAATCTATTACTATTTGCTATTAGCACCAAAATATGTTCCAATACTAAAAAATCTATTTCTGTGCTCAGCGGATAATTACGTTCCGTTCTATGTTCTATATTTATGTCAAAACTGTGATTAGTGCGATAGGGTTTGACAAGAATGACATTCCGAATGTCAAATGTCAGATTTTTCTAGTCTATTACCTTTTGATAAAAATCTGATACCTTTTTCCAAGGAAATCTATTACGAAAAAATCAGACCCAGGAACAACACTGACTAGTAAATGTAAAGTTTTTGTTTCTGACAATTTGCTTGGAAAGTGACGATGCATTTCTCAAACATTGAGCTGAATGATATGGTTCTTATGTCGGGTCGTTATTGTGCGGGGCCCATGAGACTCCTCGAATGACACGAAATTGTAGCGATGCAAGGAGGTGGAAGGAAGGGTCTAAAGGATTTTTCAGTAAAAGAACCGTGAGGTGTTAAGGTATACGCTATTCGAGCTTATGTGTACAAATCTTGGGTGAGTCCATTTTAAAGTTTTTGTATTATCTTTCTGAAATTCAAGACCAGGGTTAACTTCTTCCCCATGTACATTTTCTCGATTATACATTTTATTTAATATCTCCTACTTGTCATGTAGAGTGGCAACGTCGCTTCGTTCATCACGGTCGACTGCGGATCGCAAACGATAGTTGTGACAGAAGTAGAAATCTGGGCGGAAAAAGGGTATTTTGCCCCAAATCTATTTTGATCCTAATAATATTTTTAATAGTGCTATTCGGTAGTATACCTCAAGCTTTCTTAGTGTTTAAAATATATGCACTCATTTTAAAATCAGCCTGTATATAGGCATATATGCTCTGTTATCAGTTATCTCTGAAGTGATGGAGAAAGCTTGTATCGAATATGATATGGATAGCTCAGGAATCATCGATGATAGACAATGAGCGGAGATTTACTTGCCGACGCCTACATTACCCACATGGCAAGATTCATTAGAAAAACATTGGGAATCAATAACTATGGCTTTATTAGATATATTGAAGGACTTCTTCACAAACTACCATCATACGGCTTACCACCTCGGCTATCTCCAGAATTCCCCTAGGCAGGTCGACGCTGTCAATGAAGATCTTGCCAAAATAACAGCCTAGGAATCCACAACCTAGTTGAATTCAACGCCACCAAAACTCAACCTTTTCTTCCTAGAAAGGCGGAACTGATAGTATCCCTGATATATATCAATATACCATGTTAGTCGTCTCAGTAAGCCCAGTCAGCACAGCCTTTCATCATCATCCTCGGAATATGTCGAACAAATCTTAATCAAAATACGTTCGTCAATAGAACAGCAAAGCTTTGGGAATATTTTCCAAAAGAAGTATTACCAAGGAATGTTAATCTCCAGTTGAAAAAAAATTCTAATAACTACCTGTATTCCCTATTCTCCCAGTGTGTTTCGTGTGTTCCAAGAAATGAAAAAATAATATTTTTTTTGCAGGTTCTCCACCACTCACCGGCACCGGCACAGTACGCATAGTGGTTCAAGACGTCAACGACAACAGTCCCGAATTCAAGCGTCAAGCCTACCACGCCACCATTTCAGAAAATGCGCCTGTAGGCACGTGGGTGCTCACCCCAGTAGCGAACGACAGAGACGTCGGCTTGAATGGAAAAATCAGATACAGTCTCTTGGGAGACAAAGTGGAAAGATTCAGGGTGGACCAGAGCACGGGGGTCATCGCTACTACCCAGTCGCTCGACAGAGAGGAAACCAGCGCCTACTTCTTCACCCTTATGGCTCAAGATTGCTCGGCGACAGAGCCCAGAGCCACTGCTGTCAACCTCACGATAACGGTGGCCGATGAGAACGATAATTCCCCCACGTTTGATGCCTCCAAGTACGAAATCCACATTAGCGACCAAACCAAAGCGGGGCAGTTCGTTTTCGGTGCGAGAGCTAAAGATGACGATACCGGCAACAACGCCAGAGTGTCCTACCAACTCACCGGCAAACACGCCACGAATTTCACGATCAATGAGAAAACCGGAGTCATCAAAGCCTCCTACAACTTGCAACGGTCATCCAGCAGCGTGTTCCACCTAGAAATCCTGGCGACGGACGGAGGAAAAGTACCGAGAAGAGCCAGTACCGAGCTGAAGGTGTTCTTGAAGCCGGACTACTTGTTTCCCAGATTCGCGACCCCGTACAAAACAAAATTCGCCGTACTAGAAAACGTCCGTCAAGACATCGAACGGTTCGTAGCAACCTCCCCCAAGAAAGGCCCAGCAGGTGAAATCAAATACGCGATAGCTGGAGGCAATGTCGGTGAGGCCCTAGAAGTAGATAGAAACTCGGGAGAAGTCCGAGTAGCGGCTCGGGGCCTAGACTACGAACTGTCTCCACAATACGAAGTATGGATCGAAGCCGAAGATTCCGATATCCCACCGCTTAAAAGCGTTCTGCAACTCACCATCGACGTTACTGATGCCAACGATAACGCTCCTGTGATGGACAACCTCCTGTACAACGCTACCGTCATGGAGGAAGAGACCCCACCGCTTTTGGTCGTTAAAGTTACCGCTATGGATGCAGATTCTGGGGACAACGGACAAGTTACCTACAGCCTTCTGGATGACCATGATGGTAGCTTCGAAATTGAGGAAGAAAGCGGGGAGATTTACACCAATGCTCCTTTAGATCGCGAGGATATCTCGAGCTATGAGCTGACTGTTCTAGCTAGAGACAAGGGTACACCTGAACTAACCGGATCTGCAACAATTCTAGTAACAGTTCTGGACAAAAACGATAATCCTCCGAGATTCACGAGATTATTCAGCGTCAATGTGACGGAAAACGCAGACATTGGTTCGTTCGTCATCAAAGTCACCAGTTCAGATCTAGACATCGGAGAGAATGCTAATGCCAATTATAGTTTCACCGAAAATCCCGGAGACAAGTTCAAAATCGACGTCGTAACGGGCAACGTGACGGTTATAGGTCACTTGGACCGTGAACAACAAGACGAATATGTCTTGAAGGTGGCTGCAGTAGATGGGGCTTGGAGATCAGAAACACCGCTAACAATCACAATCCAAGACCTAAATGACAACGCCCCCGAATTCGAACACTCCTACTACAGCTTCAACTTTCCCGAACTGCAAAGAGAAATAGTTTTCGTAGGACAAGTCACCGCCACCGATCGAGATAAACAAGGTCCCAACTCAGTAATCAGTTATTCTTTGCAACAGCCATCCGACCTATTTACTGTCGATCCAGCTTCGGGTGAGATCTTCAGCAAACGAAGCCTAAGGTACAAGTACACCCCCATGGAGTCCTCTCCCGAAAACATGTACTCCCTGACGATCTTAGCGACTGATAACGGTAAACCACCAATGTCATCCGAATGCCTTGTAACTATCAACGTCGTCGATGCTAATAACAATGCTCCAAGTTTCGAGCAACAAGAGTATCTATCCCCAGTACCTGAAGATGCTGTTGAAGGTCAACAGTTACTGAAAGTAGTTGCTAAAGACGAGCTAGACGTTGGGGTGAACGCAGAAATAGAATATTCCATTACGGGTGGTAACGGCTCAAATAATTTTATAGTAGACAGCATCAGTGGATGGATAACGGTCAATAAAAAAGTCTCGGGAGTTGGCACTGTTTATAATCTGCAAGTTCGTGCCATTGACAAAGGTATTCCACCTCAAGAGAGCGAAGTCGCGGTTACCCTCATAGTGACGGGCGAAAATAGATTCAGCCCCGTTTTCACTGCTCTAAGCTACCAAGTTATTGTACCAGAAAACGAACCTCTTGGCTCAACTATTCTGACAGTGAGTGCATCTGATGGAGATTCAGGTCCTAACGGTATGCTGAGATACAGAATTTCCGCTGGCAACGAAAGAAATGAATTCGCAGTTGACACTGTGTTGGGATCAGTTATCATACTACAACCGCTCGACTATGATACCATCCAGGAGTACCATTTGAATATCACAGCTGAAGATTTAGCATTCAAACAACGTCGCACCACTGCCATGTTGACCATCACTCTGACTGATATAAACGATAACTCCCCGGTATTCAATCAATCTTCATATGACGCTTTTCTGTCAGAAAATTTGCCAATAAACAGCGTGGTTTATCAAGTCGTGGCTACGGATATAGATTCTCCCAAAAACGCCATCATAGAGTATTCGTTCTCCGAAATCCCAGACAGGTTCAACTATTTATTCCAAATCGACAAAAAGACCGGAGTTATAACCTCCAAGGTCAGCTTCGACTACGAGGAGGAGACCATGTATACTTTGAGCGTATTGGCGGCCAATCCAGATTCAACAATGTCTAGCAACACAATTGTACAAGTTCACATAACAGGCGTTAATGAATTCTATCCCAGATTCATCCAACCCGTTTTCCACTTTGACGTCTCCGAGTCGACAGAAGTAGGTACCAGAGTCGGAACAATTCAAGCTACTGACCAAGATGCAGGTGAAGATGGCAAAGTCTACTACCTGTTCGTAGGATCAAGCAATGACAAGGGTTTCAGCATCAATACCGAGACTGGCATCATAAGCGTTTCTAGAAACCTAGACAGAGAAACTCAGAGTAGAATAGTTCTGACCGTCATGGCTAAAAATTTTGGAGGTATACGTGGCAACGATACTGATGAGGCCCAGGTGATAATAACTGTGCAGGATGGTAACGACCCACCAGAGTTCCTACAGAGCCTTTACGAATCAGATGTGTCGGAAGGATCTAGAATCGGAACAAAGATAACAACAGTCAAAGCAGTGGATAAAGACGTTAGAGCACAAAACAACCAGTTCAGTTATTCCATCATAGGGGGCAACGTTGAGCAAGCTTTCAAGATAGACCCTCAAAATGGAGAAATCCAAACTGCTAAGGCTCTAGACAGGGAAGCGACCCCTCTGTACTCCCTCGTTGTCGGTGCGATAGATACAGGTATACCACCTCAAACTGGTACTGCTTTGGTTAAAATACAAGTCACCGATATCAACGATAATGGTCCTATATTCGATCCTCCACAACCTGTCGGTTATGTTCTCGAAAACAAACCTCCCAACACAAGGGTGATGACGTTGAGTGCCAAAGATCCCGATTTACCTCCAAACGGAGCACCTTTCACCTACAAGCTCCTAGGTGGTAAGCACAAAGACTATGTCAAGATAGACAAACACTCAGGGATCATTGTTACTACCAAAGTTATCGATAGAGAGTTGACACCAGAACTGAACATCGTAGTGGAAGTTGAAGATAGTGGGGTACCGAAAATGAGGTCTCAACATAACGTCAGGATCGAGATTCAAGATGAGAACGATAGTCCTTCGAGTTCAAGATCGGTACACGTTCTCGTCTATTCATTTAATGGAACTCATCCCTTGGGAAATATCGCCAATGTACACCCCAACGACCCAGATCTAGTGGGCGATTATAGATGCAAGATTCTACAGAAACCAACCATCACAGGAGTGTTATCTATACCTTCTGGTTGTAACCTTCACACTTCTCGCATAACTCCAGGTCAAGGTTATTCCCTTTCAGTTACTGGAAACGATGGTAAACATTCAGATGTAGTCTCTACTGTCACAGTGGAGTTTGTGTCCTTCGACAACACCACTGTCGAAAACTCGATAACAGTAAAAATCGCCAATCTCACTGCAGAACAGTTCCTCGCTCAATACTACAGAGGTTTATTGGATATTCTCAAAAACATACTGAGCTCAGAAGAAAACCTCATGTTGTATAGCTTGCATGAAAATGAATACGATTTAGAACTTACAATGGCGATTAGGTTGAGTAGTGGAATCGGTTACAAAAACAGGTTTCACACCATGGAAAAAGTTCAAAAGAAAAGCGAAGCTCTTGTTAATCTATTCCAGACACCAGATATCAAAATCGGATACACTCCCTGTAACGACAGAACTTGCGAGAATGGTGGTATTTGCTCAGAAACTCTAACAGTAAAGGAAACCACGGAAATAACAGATAGCCAAAACATAATATTCACCTCACCACTAGTATTCCACGAGTACAAGTGCCAATGTGCTGATGGCTTTACGGGCTCCACTTGCAACAAAAGGCAAGATCCATGCCTACCGAATCCCTGCAAATCTGGAGGACAATGCAGAAGGCAAGGTTTCACCTTCCAATGTATATGCCCTTCAGGCAAAGACGGCCGCCACTGTGAAACTCAAAAAGACGACGCATGCTCAGACAATCCTTGTCAGAATGGAGGGTCTTGCCGAGAGAGTCCCGATGGTTCTTCCTTCTTCTGTCTATGCAGGTCTGGCTACAAAGGCAACCAATGTGAGGTCTTGGCAGATTCTTGTAGACCCAACCCTTGCCTGCATGGTGGTTTGTGTGTCAGCCTCAAACCAGGGTACAAATGCAGCTGTATCGATGGCAGATACGGTCGTCACTGTGAAAGGACCACGTACGGCTTCACAGAGCTTTCTTACATGAGTTTTCCCTCCCTGGACGCCGCTACCAATGACATTTCTTTCATATTCGCCACCACCAAACCTGACGCTTTGCTGGTGTACAACTACGGCCTTCAAACTGGAGGTAGAAGTGATTTCGTTGCCGTGGAACTGGTCAGAGGTAAAGCTCTATTCTCGTTTGGTGGAGCTAGGACAGCAATCACTGCCGTCAGTGTTGGAGGAAAGAGTAACAATCTAGCGGATGGGAACTGGTACAAGATCACAGCTACTAGGAATGGGAGGGTGGTATCACTGAGCGTCGGTGGTTGTACAGAGCAAGGAGACCTTTGTGAAGAATGCAGACCTGGGGATAGTACATGCTATGCAGATGAAATTGGTCCTAGCGGGTAAGTGTTCTAATATAAGAAAACATTTTGCCATGCGGTATGTTTCACAGTTAATTACAACTTATTTCCTTCTATTTCCAGGACATTGAATTTCAACAACCAACCCCTCCTAATCGGCGGTCTACTCAGCGCAGACCCCATCTTAGAACGTCCTGGCCAAGTTCACTCAGACGATTTGGTAGGGTGTGTTCACAGCGTGTGGGTCAATGGCCGCCAACTCAATCTCTCTCAGCCACTAGCGTCGGAAGGCGTCGAACACAAGTGCATTCAGAGTAGCCAATGCAGCAAGCCATCCAGCGACCCCTGCCTAGGCTATGGAAAGTGCATAGATCGTTGGAACTACGTAAGCTGTACGTGTGGTGGCGATCTGATATCGCCGAACTGCCATACAGCTCTGCAGCCAATCAGCGTCAGCGCTGGCAGCTACGTCGAGTTTGTGATATCGAAGAAACACAGGAGGATGCAGCTATTGGACAACATGTACAGAGGTTCTACACTTTGGGGTCATCACAGGACAATCAGGAATACTGTATCGTCTAGCCAAGACTCTTCGAATGATGCTACCGATAAATCTGTGAGCATCTTGTTCAGGACTGTACAGCAGAATGGCATCATCCTCTACGCCACCAGCAACAACTATTACACCTCCATAGAACTCATCAACGGCCAGATTCATTATATCAGTAAGCTTTCCAGCGTAATCAATATGACAGATAGTCACACTACTATAACAGATGGAAGCTGGCATAACTTGACGCTATTCTCAAGAGGTCGTGGCATCAGAATCTTGTTAGATGAAACGAAGTTCGGAGATGAGCTAGATTCGGCTAGCGTCCACGACTTCCTAGACCCTTACTTGACGTATCTGTCCATTGGAGGTGCTGCGGCTAATCTATATTACGCTCACGACTCGTCTCCGCAATCCTTCGAAGGCTGCTTCAGCAATTTCACCATCAACAACGAGATACAGCCGTTCAACGGTTCCGGTAGCATCTTCCATCAAGTCACCTTCAAAGGGCGCGTCGCTAGGGACTGCATAGGACCCATTGGGGTCGGTACTGCAGCTGCCCCTGATCCTCTAAGCATCGGTATCACCCTTGTCATTGTTTTCTTCGTCGTTTTACTTGTTGCCATATTAGTCTCGTTCGTAGCTTTCAGACTTAGAAAACAATACAAGGAAAAAGGCAGTGCTTCTAACAGTACTTCCGCCATACACACCAAACAAAACGGAGGTGGAGGCATGATGAACACAAACGGATTGAACGTTGGCAACGATAACGTTCTCGGAAGGGTGCTGCACGGCAACGACAACTCCATGTCGTACCACGCCGACGGAGACGTCATCAGAGGAATCGGAGGTCTGCCCCTCGTAGGACCCGAGCTGCTCTCGAAAAAGTACAAAGAACGCGACATAAACCAAGGGGAAGTGCCCAGACCACAACGACCTGACATCATAGAGCGCGAAGTGATGAGCAAGAGCCCCCCCATGAGGGAAGACCACCACCCCCCTATGCCACCCACCTCCAATCACACTCACGACCACGGCCCTCCCACCGACATGAGCTCAGAAATGCCCGAGCACTACGACCTGGAAAACGCCAGCTCGATAGCCCCCTCCGACATCGACATCGTGTACCACTACAAGGGGTACCGCGAGACCGGCGGCATCAGAAAGTACAAAGCCACGCCCCCGCCCGTCGCCGGCTTCCACCACAAGCACGGCACCGCCCAAGGGCAGGCGCAGCACAGGCACTCGCCCCACCATCCCGCCGGCTACCCTCCGAGAGCCCCGCCCGTCACTAGTCCGGGGGCGCGGCCTCACCAGAGCACGCCTCTCGCCAGGCTGAGCCCCAGCAGCGAGATGAGCGCGCAGCAGCCGAGGATACTGACCCTGCACGACATCAGCGGCAAGCCGCTGCAAAGCGCCTTGCTGGCTACCACCTCCAGCTCTGGCGGCGTCGGCAAAGACAACAGCGAGCGCAGCCTGAACAGCCCGGTGATGTCGCAGCTCAGTGGCCAGAGCTCCGGCTGCAGGAAGACCACAGCCCCACCGGGGCAAGTCAACTCCTCCCCGGCCGGCATGGGGCTGACGGCCGAAGAGATCGAAAGACTGAATTCCCGTCCGCGAAACTCGAGCCTGGTGTCCACGCTGGACGCCGTGTCGAGCTCGAGCGAGGCGCAGCGAGGGGGGCCTCACTTGAGGCACTCGCCGGTGCCCGAGACGCATCACAGCAGCACCACCACCGACGAGAGCGGCAACGACAGCTTCACCTGCTCGGAGATCGAGTACGACAACGCTAGTTTGACGGGCGACAAGTACAAGCCGAGCGAGGCCGATTCGAGGCGGAACGACTCGAGCTCCGTGGGGAACAAGAGCAACATCCCGCCGCCGTCGTACGACGGGTTCGATTCCTCGTACAGGGGGTCGATGAGTACGCTGGTGGCGTCGGATGATGAGCTAGGAGGGCCCATGTATAGGCCCGGTACGGGTTCTCCGCCGAATACTGCGCTGGGTTGGGACTATCTGCTCAACTGGGGGCCGAATTTCGAGAGCTTGGCGGGGGTGTTCAAGGACATTGCTGAATTGCCTGACTCGGTAAACGGCAGGGTGCCTAGTTCTTTGAGACTTGCGAATGCTCCGAAACCGTCGGAGGAGTATGTGTAGTGAGGTGCGTGTTTGGTAGGGCGAAAATACTTTTTATTCGAATTTTTATGTGTCCTTGTATCAAGGTCTTTGTAATTTTCTTGCCATATTTTTTGTAATTTTACGTGTACATTATCGAGATGTAATTTTATTGCTATTTCCTATGAAACTTGAAGACTTGTACATAGTTTTATATTGAAGTCAATCGATGTAGAAATATTTAATAAATGAACTAACTATGAAAATACGCTAGAGATTTTTATTTGCATGTATATACAAGAGCTGTTATATGAATACCTTCATTGACATATTTAGAAGAAGTGACATTTGCACTTTCAGGGTAAATAGATACCGAAAAATAAAAATCGGAATTTTCTTCCACGGAAAAGGTACCTTTTTGTATGAAAGTTGGAAATACATCCAATCTTCAATCTCAATTTTTATAGACTTATAGAAGAACCATTCCATCGGAAATGACCCAAATTTCATAATTCAAAGTGAATAAATTGAAACAAATTGCATAGAAATGTTGGGCCATCTTTGTGATTTAGTAAGAATTCGAAATGGTTAATATCGTGGGCATTTTTTCTTAATTTGACTAAATACAATGTCCCAAAAATTCTCGAAAATTTTTCAAAATCACAAGAGGATAAAACTCATATTTCAATAAATGTTACTACATAAACCTAATTCCGTTTATGAACCTGAACCTGCTGAAGCAAAATGTCCATTCAAAAAATCAATAATTTTTGTTTGTGATTAAAAGAAATTTGATATGCTGTGAGAAATTGTAATAATTGTGTTATAGATTCTCAGTTTTTTTTTGTTTTGGAATACAAACCCTGGTGCAGCTTTATGTGCATCAATTTATTTTTCATTGCAAAATTAATAGAAAAAAAAAACGTAATTTTGTTTTTGAATTAAAATATCTATGAGAACGTCATGAAGAACGTCAAGAAGAAACATTCACCAATATTTCCATTTTCATAAGAATGTTGTTAGGCAAATGAAAAACGAGCATCTAAACTAAATTATAATCAGCAAACTTAAGAACCTACATAAAAAACCTTATATCAAATACAAATGTAAAACTAAAAATATCACTGCATATTATCTACAATACTGCACATTATTCTATCACCAATGAAGCAGGGATCAGCATTTCCATCTGCATTTTCATCTTTTTCCTTGTTCATCAAAAGATCTGTTTCAATCATCAATTTGGAGTCAAATTCCATGGGTTCGGGAAGATTATGAATGGCTTGTTGTAAGATGTCCATAACTTTGTCCAAGTGTTTTTGGAACCTGAAAAACTGAAATTTCAACATTGCACTCGAAACCCTTGAAAAAAGTCTGAGACATACTTACTAACTACTGATGACATTAGACATTAAAATATTTTTTTTTCAATTAACTTATTGTTTTATCCCAGGTTTCTTTTTTTTTACTGACCTATTAGCAGTTTCAATCCTTTGTCTTTTCTGCAACTCCATCATAACCCTTAGAGTTTCCCTTGCCTGGTGGGGCCTGAATTCGTTCAGCAAATGATGAATATGGATGAACAGAAGACTCAAATCTTCCACTTTCTCAGCCCTCCTAGGCGAATCAGGGCAATTCACCAGCAAATCCAACAAGTCCAGAAAATTGGCCAGCAAAGACTGGTTCAGCTTTTTCAATTCTCTACGTCTGTCAAAATGGAGAGGGTACAGTCTTTTGATGCCCTGAAGAAACAACATCAGAAATGTACAGTGCAGACAGCCATCAGGTATCTCGGTTATTTTGAAGATTAGAACCTCGATTAGAACCTTGCGGTTTTCGCGATCCTTTTTTGTGAAATTCAAGATGGCCTGGACAGATCTTGCCTAACTTATTTCGTTCATAAGTTACAGGGCGTTTTTGAAAATTTACACTTTTTGGACTGCTTCTATATCCACAAAGTTATTGAACATCGGAAGATCAATTGACTCACCTCAGTAAGGAAGAGTGATCCTAATTATATGAACAGTCCCGTCGAAAGATTATAAACACTCTGTACTCTGTAGTAGCAGCGTGCTGCTCGATCTGTACGACGTTCAAAGATCCGTGCAATTTCAGCACCTTCCAGGGCGTTGGTAGCTCCTAGATTGCCATGGCGGGAATTTTTTATGAGGGGGATTGTTATAATCTTTCGACGAGACTGTTCATATAATTAGGATCACTCTTCCTTACACAGGTGAGTCAATTGATCTTCTGATTATATTTCACAGTCCCGTCTCAGATTATAAACACCCTGTAGATGTTTAAAATAAATCTAGCAATCTAGCTAAGTTCTTGAAACGTCAGCAATAATAATTATTGTATTTCCAAAATTACAATGTTTGTCATCAATTATTAACGACTAAAAATACGATAAGACGAAGATAATGCAGAAAAATAATGCAACTAATACATGAGCATCATGTATTCATTTATTTATGCGCTGAAATTTGCTAGATAGCCGTTCATGATGCGAAGGTACTGCCGGTTGGAATCCGGCTATCGGCTGAGCGTTTTTCTTTGAAATGTGGGATTCATGGTTGTAATCCTGGCAGCACCTCGATGCCCTAGAAGTGGTTTAGATTCCACTATAAGCTGTAGGTCCCGCTTTTCCTAACCACGCACAAGTTTCGACTTCTGGGGAGTTGGTTCCCAACTTTGAAGTAGCGATATACAAATTCAGGTCATTTAATGATCGTATTGAAATTGTTCCATATAAATACCCATTTATAGTTGATGCCAGGCAAAGTTTTGGCCTTTCTTCAAAATATAGTTATTACAGTTCAAGTTGTAATCTGTTTGTTCCCGATGTTTTAATATTATCGTCAATGAAGATAGGACTATACAGTCTGTCCAAGATAAGGTTGAACAGCATGGGGATATCGAAAACGGTAAGAGATACGAAATCGGTTAAATGGGGAAAAAGTTGCGCATTCGGAGGCTCATATCAAGAGCCTTCGAAAGTTTTGAAAATTATCTTTAGTTTTTGAGTTATATCGAAAAAAGTGAATTTTTGGAATTTATATTTTTTTTTTCTCCGTTATTATTAGAGATACAGCAAAACTGAGAATACTTTTTCATAGCAACTTTTGATGACGGTCAACGTGGTGATACCGATTTTTTCATGCGACGTTTCGTATTCGTGGAACCATCATCAACTTTTGTTTTTTAAATACGGTCCTGATAATTTTTTCACAGATTCTAAAAGGTTTTTTTATTCTGAATTCAACCATGTATTATACAAGGTGGTTCATTTGTGTTTCGACCTATTTTTGGCCATCATCAATGTTTTTTCGAAACTCCAAAGGAAAAATGCCATCAGTTCCACTTATTTTGAAGGAAAATTAGTCAACACACTAATACCTCATCAACTGGTTTCAATCAACAACTCATTTCATTTTGCAGAAACAAAAATTCCATCCATACAAATTCAGAATATGTCAAGCGCTAAAACCAAGCGAGGACGAAAGGCGCAAGACATTCTGTGAGTGGTATACCAGGAAATGTTAAAATTTTGCAGATTTCTTTCGAACAATCATCTGGACTGATGAAAGCATGGTCACTAATCATGGTAGCTTCGATAGAAAAAATACACATTATTGTTCACGAGAAAATGAACATTTATACATTACAGCGAGACAGCAACACCGTTTCGGCTTTAATATGTGGGTTGCAATATTTGGTACACGAATTATTGTTCCTTCTATTCACCATGAAACACAGACTTCCGAACGTTATAGAAATTCGCTTGAGAATCATCTTGAGGAAGCTCTGGATGATTTACCGATTGCGGAAGTTCAGAACTCTGTTGGTTTCAACAAGATGGCGCTCCGGTACATACTTCCAGAGAAGCCCGTGCGTTTTTATCGTTTGGCAGGCGCGCATATTCATATGTTACCGACACAACTAGCCACTTCGGAAAGCCGAACGATTTCATTTAAGTTACAGACGTAACTTATGGATTCCGTCGGTAACTTATAACGCTGTACATTTTATTATGTATTATTTATTAATATAGTTTTTTCTGCGAATTTGAGGAAGGTAAATATCCTTCGTACGGAAGGATATTTACCTTCCTCAAATTCGCAGAAAAAACTATATTAATAAATACATAATAAAATGTACAGCGTTGCTTCATCTAGGCATAAGTTACCGACGGAATCCATAAGTTACGTCTGTAACTTAAATGAAATCGTTCGGCTTTCCGAAGTGGCTAGTTGTGTCGGTAACATATGAATATGCGGCCGGCGCGGTCGCCTGATTTAACACAGCTGGATTTTTTCTTAGGGGATATATCGAACTTTGTACACGCAAATAACTTTGAGGATGAAGAAGAACTAAGGGACAGTGTCTTCGAAGCATTCAATAGAATAACCCCAGAAATGCTTAGCAATGTCTTAGAAACAACTGAGAGAAGAGGATATCTTTGTTCAGAAAGTAATGGTTATCATTTTGAACATTTGTTATGAATGTCTCTGTAGGTATTGTGAAAGTTAAGTTGTTAAAGTAATTCGTGTAAGAATTCATCAACAATTTTACGCTGCATTGATCGAATGATGTAGTGATGGCTTTTTTTCTTTTGGAAGTTCGAAAAAACATTGATGATGGATAGAAATATGTCGAAACACATTCGAATCACCTTGTATAGTACATTGTTGAATTCAGAATAAAAAAACTTTCAGAATCTGTGAAAAAATTATCAGGACCGTATTTAAAAAACAAAAGTTGATGATGGTTCCACGAATACGAAACGTCGCATAACAAAATCGGTATCACCACGTTGAACCTCATCAAAAGTTGCAATGAAAAAGTATTTTCAGTTTTTCTGTATCTCTGATAATAACGGAGAACAAAAATAAAATAGAAATTCCAAAAATTCACTTTTTTCGATATAACTCAAAAACTAAAAATAATTTTCAAAATTTTCGAAGGCTCTTGATATGAGCCTCCGAATGCGCAACTTTTTCCCCATTTAAGCGACTTCGTATCTCCTACCGTTTCCGAGATCCCCATGCTGTTCAACCTTATCTTGGACAGACTGTATAACGGCATTATCACACTTTGTGTTATTAATTTTTCTTTGGTGATCAGTTTGAGTCTTCTGTTTCAATAATAGTGCTGATAATATTACTATTTCTGATGTCAATTCTTTGATATTTAGATTTTTTAATGGGTGGTAACCTTTTTCCATCTGTTGTAGTAAAGGATTTGTATATTTGGGTCGAGATGGTCTTTTGTAATACATAACGTATTATAACCCTCTGAGAAAGCCGAGGAGAAAGCTTTTCTACATACTTGTATCTTAATCATTTAAATGAAAAATTGGTGGTAAAGCACATTTGATTGTGGGAAAAGAACACCCTGTTTTGTCTGAATGTTTCATTATACCAGAATATTGATTGAGAAGCGGGCTGCTACTACAGGGTGTTTATAATCTGAGACGGGACTGTGAAATATTTTTTTGTTATCGCACTCAATTATTTTTTCGGGGTATGGTTTTGGAGATATGACACAAACTTATATATTTTTCAATGAAACGCCCTGTATTTTTTTTTTTTTTCGTTGAATTCGTGATTCTTTTCCTTTGAAATGATGCATGATCCTTTATACAGAGGATTTTCAGAAATGCTAGGAAAACACTAAAACATTAAATTATGCTAGTGAACCTTGGATTTTTGTGAGTGCAGCCATATTCCTGTTTTTTAATCACTTGGAGTGCACGGTAGGAAATTCCTGTTATATTCAGATATTCTCATGATTTTCTCAATAACTTCAACAAGAGCGACAATGATAGATAATTTCATTGGGTACTGAAGAAAATAATAAAAAACGGTGCAGCAATTCTCAATTACGCGTCACCAATTAGACTGCAGGGCACGTAATGCAAAATTAGAATTTTGCTCCAGTGGCGGACACATTTTTTTGCTTGAGGTGACCCCCGAAACTCATGCGACTGATGAAATTGTAATTTTCAAAGCACATTCTGAAGCGCCAATATCTTCCACACAAGAAAGGTCCTCCTCAATGCTCTAAAGTGAACAGTTTTCGAGAAAAATTGCTTTTCATGAATAAAAACATGCTGATTACCGAATTTTTGAGTTTATTAAGTGTTGTAAAGTCTGTTTAATTAAGTGTGGTATAACCGAGGGTGAAACACACTGTATCTCTAAAACGGCAGGAAAAAAATTGTTTTTTTTTTTGAGGAACCTACCGTTTTCCTTAGCAAAACTTATTTGTTAACACCCTGTATATGTAAATTGATTGATGTGTTACTCCAAATTTTCATAGCATCATCAGTTGAAGACATATTGAGTGCTGCTCATCTTCAAATCTTCACCCTGTATATTATATGAATTAGGAACTTCTTCTATTTTTTATATGTATTATGAACTATTAATTACTATTTATTTGTTGTTATTAGGTACATATGGTATTATTATGTACATATTTTATTATTATTGGCAATGATAAAATTACAAATGGAAATTCTTCAATTAGGTACTTATTTTATATGAAAAATCATCGATATACAGGGTGATTCAAAATTCGGGGTAAATATTTTGAAGACAAATTATTGTTGGGATCAAAATAACACTTTTTCTTCACATAAACATAGGTCCTAAAATTCACCCTCTCCAAGCTACAGTCACTGTGAGTTAGGTAAAGAAAAAATATATTGTGACTAAAATAAGGGATCAAATCTTCTGAAAATCGGTAGGCCCTTGTCTTTTTAGACACTTTATTCCATTCTTCCTTCAAAAACTATGTTAACCCAGTTTTGAGGGAGCTTGGAGGGGGGTCCTTACTTTTATTTTACATTTTTTACATACATGTTAGGTAAATGACCTTTCAAAGTGATCAGCACAAAGCAGGGAAGCAGAAAAGTTGAAATATTTTAACTTTATCACATCAGATATTTTCTAATTCAGCATCACCAAACAGATTGAATGACACACAAGGCGAAAAGCTGAGAGGCTGCATTGGGAACTCACCTTTAGACATAGTTCTTAGGGCAACTCCAAGGGCAACTCACAACATTATCTCTAATAACTTCATGAATATGGTATGTGTCCAAGTAGAATAAATGTTCAAAATTGCCCAGTAGGTATCTAATAAATGGAAACAGTTATGCATAATCTGATAAGGTCATCTTGAGTTCCATATAAAAGTTGGTCAAGAACGTGAATACTCTTCAATAACAACCAAGACACTTGGTAAGTCTCAACCAAAATCGGTTGCTTTGTACTTTTTACTGCTGTTTACCTGGCTTTCAAGAGGTCTGATTATACTTTCTTCGGTGTTGAAGGCATTGCCGAACATGTGATAGGTGTCAGTGATTGGTGGAGGAGGTTTTGGGGCTCTTCCACGTCTGATCAGCTCGTCTGTGTACTGGTTCACATACTGCATAGGAGGTAAGGGCAGAGAACTGACTTGTATGGTGTCTGTATTAGCCATTTCGATAGGGGAATGGTAAGTGTGTTAGAAATTATGATTTAATATTAGTGTCCTAAAAACATTACTAGAAAATCAATCAACATTTTTGGAATCAAACAATCTGAATAAGGTAAACAAACTCTGTTTGACAAGTGACAAAAGACAACAGTGACAAACAGAAGTTAACAAATGTCATGTCTCAAAATTCTTCCTCTTGTTCTCTTCTTTTGCTTAGTTCCATGTTCATTGTCTCTTGTGTGCTTTGGACATTGGATATACCGGACATTCATCCTTTTGACATACATCATCAATTCTTCTTCTTCTCCTTCAATAAACATTGTTGCCTCAAGCTCACGCAATCGAGACATCGTGCTTCCATCATTGTCGAGCCTAGCTCATGTGGAGCCCAAAGATTATAATTTCTGTATCAAGGTGGATCTCTGTATAATCTCCTTGAGTCGAGCACTGAGCACTGGAGTCGAGCCGTGGTCGAGCCTAATTAATGTCATCCGAATTATTTCATGAATGTCCCTCCATCGGGGTCCTGAGTAAACAGAATATAAGGTGTCCAAAAAATATTGGTCACTCCCAAATCTCCCAAATCTGAGTATTCAATTTGGTTATACACTGAATAATAATTGAGCTACTTACCTCTGCAGTCTGCTCCAAAGGACCCTGAACTTTATTTATATATTTGTTTACATGTATGCGATATTCGCTTTCAGCAGGCTATTTATTATTTGATAAGGTGGAGTCAAACTCCATCCAGAGATAAACATAATTATCATTTTCGAGTGCATTTTTGTGTATTTTGAATATTATGCCTGATATAGGTAGATGTATACCTACCTACAATTCTATTATATTATTATAGTATAAAGTTTTATTAAATTTCACGGAAAATTAGAGAAAATGCAACTAGAAATAGTAATAGGTGAGAATCTGAAAAAACTGGAACCAACCAAAAAAATGCAGTCCCCTATACAATAATTTTGATGTCTCTGTTACAGATTATTGTTACAGATGTCTCAAAAGCCTCCGTGTCCAGGTGATGCGTTGGTGTGCTGAAAGACCAGCTATATCACTGGTATTGGTCATATTGTTCACCATAATTTTGCTGCCATTGATAACAGCTACAGTTCTAATACCATTTGCAATACTATTGGATCTCAGCCACTTTCTAGCAACAAAAGGTAGGTATAGAAATTGTCTCCATACATTCGACGAAATTCTTGCCAAAATAATAAATATCTCTTCAAAATACCAGCATATATGGATGAAGCATCATTTTTATCATTTCTGGTACCCTCGCTTATTCATTTATTTGGAAAGATAAGGTTAAATACAGGGTGTTTAAAAAAAACCTGACCCCCTGCATGCTATAGAGGGTAGGTAAATAGAACACTGCAAAATAAGTTGGGTTTTTTCAGCGTAACGGCATTCGTTTTCAAGATATAAGTACAAGGTGTTGAAAAATATATCTTTTTCAACTTTTTTACTATTATGTCGAAACTATACTGGCAACATTGTAATGAAATTTTGTATGGGTGTGTTTTGAAAGCTAAAACGCACATGGCATGAATTTGTTTTTATATCTGACTCTCATATAGAGGGCGCAAGTTACACGGGTTCGTACAGACCTTTGTACACAGTAATTTGGAACATGACTATGACTTATTTTTTGAGGTTTGAGTAAGTGTTCAAAATGTCCTCAGTTTCCATAATACATGATTTCATATATTTTTCTGAAGAATGCATTATTCTTCTAAACGGTTAAGGATTAGCTGTTAGAGGTCATTTAAGAGATGTTCAATTCAGTCTTTCGAGTCTTGGCGTGAATTCGCACCTATCACCTATGTAGCATAGACTTTTTGATTATAATACAAGGAAACTGATTTGTAATCCATGTTTTTAGTACAATTAGTTTTAATGTTATTCTTGTGATTCATTGTGTAATCATTATAAATATATTATTGTTCTCAGTTTTCAATAAATAGGTTTCTCACAATACCTACTACATAGATCAAAGTGTGTATTTAGATCTATGCTTACTATAATACTACTTATATACCAGCAATAGTTATCACTTCATCATTTTGAAATCAACATTTTCTGAAAACGGAACACAGTATCGAGTTTCACCAAGAGTACCTTTTTGGTGTGAAATTGAATGATGTTCAATTACACATCAAATTTGGATTGAAAAATCTAACCTCTAAAAAGTTATGGTCAAAACAAGGGTTGAAACTAATCGGAACTAACCATGTAACTAGTGCCGTCTATGGGTCATATATAAAATCAAATGCATAGGATGTGTCAGCTCAAAACACATTCATACAAAATTTCATTACAATGTTGCCAGTTGTTCGGACAAAATCGTAAAAAATGTGTAAAAAACATCTTTTCAACACCTTGTATCTTCAAAATGGATGCTGATACATTTTTTTATTGAGCAAACCCAATTTATTTTGCAGTGTTCTAACTACCATAGCAAGGGTGTCAGGTTTTTTGAAACACCATCCTGTATATTCATATAATTTCAATATCATTTTGTAAAACTGTTTATTAATTTCTTTCAGGTTTGGTATACATTATATACATGATTCTATTTCAAGTGCTCTCTATGGCAGTTTTACTTTTAATATTATTTATCATCACTTTCACCTTAGCTAGTAGTGTTACTGTTTTACATTCATACAGCATATTCACAAAATAAAATTATTCTGGATCTAGTTTGCAGTTTATTTATAACAATAAGTTGTTAATTTGTATTATTCAATAACTTCTGGTCCTTCAACTGATGCTTTCTTAACAATATCATACAATGCATTTGTTATCCTTTTTTGAGATAGTTGTTCAGGATTGAAATGGAAAGGTTTTACTTTCTTTGAGTTTTCATTAACAACATCTGTATCTTCTTAAGGAATACATTAGAAGCAATGTTCAAAACTTATTTGGAATCTTTAATGATGAAACCAAAATATATTATTTCATCTTCTAAAAGTAGGTAGTCAATACATATATGAGGAAAAAAGGATACATCCACTTACTGTATTTCCTTCATAAGAAAAATGTATACCTGTGACCAGTTTGTAGATTAGAATTTTGTCCCTGTAAAATCATTGTTTCATCCCAATTACAGAAATTTCCTGAAATAGCTTACCTGTTCTCTTCTAGTTTCTTCTTCTTATTGTTCAAATCTGATATCTTTCTCTCTAAATCATGTTTTTTGCGTTCATATTCTACAACTAGAGCATTCATATCTTTTTCATACTCTTTTGCTTTAGCCTGTTATTGAAACATTCAAGTTAAATTATAAGATTTATGAAATGCCTGTACATTAAATATTACCATTTCTTCTCTGATTTTATTATATGACAATTTGTTGTTATTGAGCTCTCCTTTGGTAGCTTCCAGATTTTTTTCCAAGCGATTAGGGAATCCCTGCATCATATTCTTCATTTCTATAAAGCAAAGCTGTATCAACTACCATCAATATAGAATATTTTTTGACATCCTACATACCCTTACATTGTACAATATGAATTAAACGTTCACATCTATTGTTAACTCCATTATTCAGTGCAGTTTCAAAATCACTATATGCTTTTATCAAACTATCACCTATCATGGGAATCAGTTCTGTTACATCTTCTATTGACTCTTCATCCCCTTCAACCATAATGCCAAAGTAATAGATCACTGATAATTAGCAATAATTAAAACTATTCCGATTCGAGTCCAAACAACTATAGATCAACTAGATATTTTTGTTTATGGAGACAACATAATGTGATCGTTATTTTTCAAAATTTGACTGAAATATCATATAGGTTAGATTCTGAAATTTTATTGCACCTTAGTTCATCATGCACCTTAGTATGTCAGTCCGTAGCTTGATCTTTCAAAATAACATTTTCTTGGTGCACCAATATATAAGCCGATAATAATAAAAGATTAAAAGTAATAATCAGAATTAATAAGAAGATGAAAAGAATAACCTCCATGGAATACGTGACAGCTGATTTTGACATTTTGGAAACATTTTGTTTACGTTCACGTTTACCTGTGTTGTGCTTTACTCCCTTTAATAAAACCCCATTTATTATGCCATTGTTGTCAATTGTTTTTGTTAAATAATAATTGACTTTGAAGAATCTACTCTCAGGACAAACTCCAAAATGGCTGCTAGAGTCCCAAGTTTGCGTGAACTGAAGAAAAAAAGTAACAGTCTCCTCCATTTGAAGAATGCAAAACAAGCTTGTGTGAATAGTGACTATGCTGAGGCCTACGAGAACTTTGTTCTTTATTTCGAAAGCCTGACTGATCCCTTGGACTCCACAGCGGCAGTTCAAAAAATATTCACAAAGTTGGTTTGCAAAATGGGCATGATATTGGAGGAAACATGTAACATTGAGGAACTTTTGAAATGCTATATTCAAGCATTGAATTTTTTTCCAGATAACTTTGTCATACTCAGTAATTTGGGAGCATACATGTTCAAGTATATTCAACTATACAAGTCTCATGATTTAACATTTATTTCCTATAATTTTCAGAAATGCTGAGATTGATATTGCTAGAAGATATCTGGAAAGGGCTGTCAATGTTAACAAAAACTATCTACCTGCTGAAATCAACCTGATGCATGTGAAATGGCATCAAATTCCACGTTGGCACTTTAGGATGCTCAATGACAAGCATCGCAACATTGCCTATGAAAAGGCAATTTCTACACAAGTGAATACAGGTAAATTGTGAGGAGTGCCTCAAGGGTCAATGCATGGCCCAGTCTTCAAATTCATTTACAATCACCATCATCAATATTATTGGATTTGATTTGGAAGTGTATGGACTGCTGACCTTCCAGCAGACTATACTCTTTGTTTAGGATGCTGACCAGTAGACTAAAATTATCAATCAAATTTCAAGAAAGAAAGAACATGATTTGAAGAAAAAAAATTCTAAAAAAAATTGAGATATACTTATGCAAACACACTATTTGTGGAACAAAAACCTGATCAAAAAAAATCTTGTGAACTAGTAATGATGGAAGAATAAACTATAATGGAAGAAAAAAGTGATGTATACTCCACCCAAACAGTTTAAGATTAGTGAAACAAAAACCTGATGAAAAAAAATTTATTGAAAAAAATTAAAAATAAAAAACTATTCCATATGGGATTTGAACATGGGACAACAGGATTGACAAGCCAATGTTTAACCACTAAGCTACTAATTGTCTTGGATCTTTTTGGTATACAGAAAGAATGTATTCCACTGAATGATCCACAGTTTAGAGAAAAAATATAGTCTGCCAATGGTCGGCATCCCCCCAAAAAAAGGATAGACTGCGCTGACCAGTCAGCATACTATACCTTTTTCAGGTTGCCGACCGATTTTATACAGAAAGAATGTATTCCACTGAATGGTCAGCAACCTATACATTTCCATTTGATTTCAGGGTATAAAAATGTCCTGGACATAGGAGCAGGATGTGGTTTTTTGAGTTTGTGTGCAGCAAGACATGCAGGAACTACAGTTACTGCTATTGAAGAAAATAAACAACTTGCTAACATGTGTAAGGACATTATGAAGGCAAATGAAGTGTCTAATGTCAATGTATTACAGTGCTATTCAACACATTTCTCTGGTAATTCTGAAACATTTTTTCAAATCAATATCATAAATAATGACTGTGACATTCATTGCAGAATCTCCAGTGGAATGTAACCTACTGGTAACTGAAGTTTTTGATGTGGCATTATTTGGAGAACGTGCACTTGAAACTATAGCCCATGCTTCAACTGTTTTATGTACTGAAAATGACTACAAAATCATTCCCTGTAAAGCTAAAGTTTATCTAACAGGTAAGAGTAAAACTTTGAATTCCACAACACAGTGTATCAAATTTTGAATTTTCAGGTATAAGCAGTGAAGAACTTCATGCCAAACACAGATGCACCTTGCCTAGATCCATACAACTTCTCAACCTGGATAACCTTGAGATAACAGAACAAGATTTGGAGCCCTATGAAGCAGAAAACCTCTCAGACTTTGATGTCTCTTACCTAACAGACAAACAAGAAATTTTCAACATAGATTTCTATGACTCCAATCAAATACTGCAAATACTTGATGAAAGTGAGGCTCAAAGGTAATGTTAACTTTCTGGGTTGTGAACTAATGTTCCTCAGGAAATAGATAAAGAATATACCAAGGAAATAAGTTTTGACTGCTGCTTTGATATTGAGATTGATATTGAGGAAGTACCTACAACTCAAATATATTTTTCTTTATGTTATTGTTATTCGGATTTCATTTAAATAAATATTAGGCCCCACCTGTCATGTGGTGTTTGGCTGAAAAATGTCATGTAGGAAAATCAAGAAACACAAATGGTTTCGAGTAATCCAGGTTGAAATTCAATGTCAAGAAAATGATCAGTAATATATTAATGAAAGAATCTGTTAATTGAGTAGAAGTACACATCCATATGGGGAGAACCAAACAAACTTTCAATAAAAAATTACTTCTCTCTTTGAATAAATCAAGGAATTGTTGCCCTGATGCATATTCCAATTCTACTCTTAACAAGTGGAAGTGGCCACATTCCTCATCTCATGCAACGTCACGTGATGAAATAGGCGGGCTATTATTAGTTAGAAAGGGGAGAAGTGGGGATAATCCCAAGTAACCCTTAACCTACTGTAATGGTGCCCCATTTCAATGAATCTCCATTATTCAATATCATTTTGGGGAAGTAGAAGTACAAATATTACTCATTTGAGACTACCGATAAAATCATAACATATAGAACATTGAAATTAATTGAACCAACTAGTACTCCCGCAAGGATTCAAATTCTATGTATCATTCGATCATTATGGCCCTCTAAACAGTGCTTGTAGGCTTTGAACTTTATTGGGAATTGAAAAATACGAGGCTACCCCCCCCCACATGACGTCACGTGACGCGTGGAGCGACGTGGTTGGTTGTTCATGAGTGGGAAAGTGGAAGAGTAGGGATGGTCTCATGTAACTCACTATCTACTGATTATTAATGAACCAAATATTCGTGGAAACGTGTATTTTTAGCAAGTGATAAAGCGGGTGGTGGGGGAATGTTGCATCGCGATAGAAGGAACTAGCGGGCCCTGTTCCGTCACTTGGCCATTCTGGCTAACTTATGGACAAAACATCGAGTCTGATATAGGGAAGTGAAATATCCTTTCTGCATAAAGAATGAAATGAGACTACTTTTTCTAAACAATCTTAAAGCTATCTTGGTCTAAATTAACCTTTTTCTTGAGGAAGGAAAATGTAGTTTCTACATGAAAAATGAGACTACTTTTTCCAAACAATCTAACCTAATTCGGCCTACATGAACCTTTTTCCTAAAAAGTGTATTTTTCGAAAAATCACTTGGGAACAAAATGAAAAAAGTCGACCTCTGCATGGGATCGGACCCGAGTCGCCGGCGTGCCGGACTGATTCACAACCACTGTGCTATCCGGATGCTTGAAATATGTTATATGAAGAAGAAATTCAGTCCGTGCGGAAAAACAACCTCCAAATATAACGCCAATTGACAATCATATGCCCGAGATCACCTTTCGCCAACGTACTATAAGGAAAATTTTATTGGGTCTCAACACCAACAAAGCTTGTGGCTCCGACGGAATCCCATCGATTGTTCTCAAGAAATGTGCTCCCGAACTAACACCTGTTCTCTGCAAGTTGTTCAACTACTCTTACAAATTGGGGATATTCTCGTCCAACTGGAAAATTGTAAGAGTACAACCCAGTTCCTGAAGAAGGCAAAAAAGCCCTACCTAGCAACTACAGACCGATCGCACTGCTATCTATTATTTCAAAGATCATGGAGAAAGCTATCAACATCGAGCTCATGAAATACCTGAAACATTCAGGTATTTTCAACGATAGGCAATATGGCTTCCGTCATCAGAGATCAACTGGTGACCTGCTCGCTTACGTCTCACATATATGGCAGCAATCTATTGAAAAATATCGTGAAACCTTAGCCGTGGCACTTGATATGTCCAAGGCATTCGATCGAGTCTGGCACCTTGGACTCCTCGCCAAGCTTCCATCTTATGGCTTGCCTCCCCAGCTATGTTCTCTGCTAGCTAGTTTTCTCTCAAACAGGTCTCTCCATGTAATGGTCGACGGAGTTTCATCTGACTCTCTTATCATAAATGCTGATGTTCAGCAAGGATCAATTCTAGCACCAACACTATTTCTACTCCATATCAACGATTTGTTGGAAGCAACTTCTTGTCCAGTTCACTGCTTCGTGGATGATAGTAACCTCCATCTCACCATCATTCAGGGCTCCAATACCAGCCAAGAAAATCAGAAACGAACGAGGAAGAAATGTTGTACAACATAAATATGGCCTTGGTAACAATTCTCGAATGGGGATCCAATAACTTGGTAGATTTCAATGCAAACAAAACACAAGCATGCATTTTCTCTAGAAAAGCCGATCTCACTGTGCCCAACATAAGCTTGTCAGGAGTAATAACCATACCTTTGAAGACATCCATTTCGATGCTTGGTATTACTATCAGCAATAACCTTTCTTGGGAAAATCACGTGAGATCAATTGCTGAAAGTGCATCCCAAAAACTTGGTTTTCTGTTTCGGGCCATGAGCTATTTCACTTCTAGTCAGCTGCTTATGACCTATAAGGCACAAATCAGACCTGTCCTGGAATACAGTTCCCATATTTGGAGTGCAGCACCCAAACATGCCCTGAAACTGTTGGATTCTGTCCAAAAAGGGGCAATTCGTCTCGTGGGTGATGACTCGCTCACAAACTCACTCACTTCTCTGGAACACCGTAGAAAAGTTGGCGATCTGGCTCTATTTTATAGATATTTTCATGGACGATGCTCTTCTGAAATATCAACAATTGTTCCTCCCTTGGCAGTCACTGCGAGATTAACCCGTCGAGTTCAGGCTTCGCACCCCTTCGTGGTCACTTTGGAGACCTGCAGAACATCTCTTTCCAAAGACTCGAACACATTGCCAAGGGAGGTGTTCCCTGAGGCATTCAACCAGAATTTTAAGGAGAACACCAATTCCTACCTTATTTTCCTTGGTTCTCACGATGTTCTATGAACATTACAGGATATCCCTTTTCGTGGGAACCAGAACTTAAAAAAATATATACTCAAGCAGTTGCCCGCTTAGGGCGCTAGTGTCGGCCTCTACTTTAAACATGTCTTTAAACCAATCGAGAATAAGGCCACACCCCTATATGACATCGCCTGGCGCGACGCGATTGATTATTGGTCTCGTGTGGAAAAGTGAAAGAGTAGGGGTAGTCTCACGTGACCCTCTACCTACTAACGAACCGAATGTGGGTCGAAACGAATAGCTTCCTTCACTTACAGGGTCCATTTGAAATGCAATCAAGCCGGCACAATCCACGCTCTGGCGGTATGGTTCGACTTGGGATTGACAGCCGACGTATCCATCACCACCGACCCGTTGAACGACGACAGAGTCACCTGCTGGGAGCAGGCGGTGGTGCATCTGGACAGGCCCGTCAAAGTGACAGCCGGAGACGTTCTGGCTGTCGACGTGTCGATGAAGAACTGTCGATTGAAGATCGAATTGGCGGAAGACGGGGTGGTGGACCGTGACCGGAGGTTCAAGGTGACCAAGGAGGTCGTGTCCTTTTTAAATGACGACAGTTTGGTGGAGAGCATCGGTCGGTTGGCTGAGAGATTAGCGCATGCGAATTTGACAGTGAGTTTATGAGATGCTGACTTCGGTAGAATTTTTGGTTGTCGACCGGCTTGACCGACTGGTCGTTAGTGTCACATGACTAATCACAAATACGAATGGTTTCGACCGGTCGCTTGTATACAAAACCTTCAAAGCCGTTAACTTTACTGATCTATTAATAATATATCGAAAATAACACATCACCTGGCATCCCATAAACCAGATATATTAGAAATTATCCATATGAGTCATTGAATTCCTCGAGACAGGTTTAGTTGAATGAAATAATAATTTTGAATTGTATATATCAGAAATAATATGCTCAAGTGAATCATCCAATGATGTAATGCTATTTTTGTTGAAATATAAGCAGTTCGTGTCACTCAATTTTGAAGAATGTAGATGTCCTTTTCCATTTTTTGAGTAATTTGATTGTTTTGAGGTTATTTATATCCTCGAACCCCATCGACCATCAGAAAGCCCTGGCAAAGTGGTCTTGGATCGGTCGGCCTTGGTCTTCAACAAAAAACGATACCATTTGAAGTTAAGTCATTTTGGTCATCAAACAACCGGTCGGCAATCAAAAACTCTCCCTTCGCGTCGGGAGACAAACATAACCTCGAGCTAAAATCTAATTATTTTTCCCTTATCAAATTATTTTTTCCCTTATCAAATTAATAGTTATTCATTATACAAGGGAAAAAAGTATTAGATTTTAGATCGAGGTTGTGTGGGGAAATAAAATACCACGAGTAAAAATTTCATATTCTTGCCGTGTATAATACACAATTTTTTTCTGTGACAGGAAAATCGACGATTCAATATTGAGAAGATATCACATTATAATACGGTCAGAAAATTATCATTGTGAAATTTGAAGTTTTTAACTGGTAGACTGTGACAATCACACCTGCGTTGCAGGTATCTTTGTTGCTATGGAAACCTTTTGAGGTAATCAAATACCTCTCAATTCAATTCTGTATTTTGATTTGAAGAAATTGCGAACTTAGTGGTTGTTAAGTAATTTACGTATCCGCGAAGTGGAATGGAAGATGAAAAGGACTTGCAGTTCTTTTTCGGAGACGGTGTTATTGACTTATTTTTTGGAACTGGCATAACAAAAGCCAAAAATTAATTTTACGAAAAGTGACATTCTGTTACCTGTCAACAGAAATGAAAAAATGTAAATTTGTTTTTCCTCCACAGAAAAATAACTATTTCATCATTTCACGGCCTCCTGTGTTCCAAAATCATATCTAAAAAATTCAAGAAACTGTTGTTCAGATTAGTTGAAATTAATTTTCTTTCCATTGAAAATCCTATATATTATTACAAAATCTTTAATATTGATACCTCTAGTAGCATTAAAAATGAAAAAAAAGGAGAAGACAGATCTATTACATTGGGGTTACAATGGTCTTCTTTTCCATTTCTTCTCATTTTTAGGGCTACCAACATGAAATTGTCAATGCATATTTCTTATCACTCTAAGCTAGCTGAATTATCTCTCATCATTTTACTTTACTTCAGAGAAAATATGAATCAAGCGATTTTTGAAATTTAGCGTCAACATTAAAAAGAGATAAAATGGCATCATAGTAGAGTGACGACAATAGACATCCAAATGGCTACCATTTCCGGGATGTCAAGTCACTGAATAGCTAAAAATCTAAAGGATATCTCCCATGCATTAATGAATTTGTCCCTTCGAAGTGCCTACCTGATGTTAGGTTTGAATATTTGATATTTTCATTTCATCATCCTAATAATCTGAAACTTACGAGTCCCAAAAGACGGATTCTAATAGTTAATATCCAAGGTACTTACGTGTAGAGTTTCATGTCTCATTGTTGGATGTTTTGTGTCCAAAGAGGTCTGACCAATCAAAAAGTGTAAAACTATTGTCGTCACTCTATTTATAAAGTCACTATACATCATAGTAACTTGGTCATACAGAGTGATCCATCTGAAAGCTGACCACCCTCATAAATCTTTTATTTAACTAGCGATTTTGACGAACTTTTTTTCAATGTGGAGGGGGAAAAGGTGTATTTTGAAGCTAAGTGGTGTCCCCTTTTTCTGAAAACCAAAGCGTACTAGAACACATTCAGAGGCAGGAAAATCCAGAATCCATATTAGAAATCTGCTTCTCAATGCATAATAAACAACTTGTCAGTAATTTAGTCATAGAATCGTTAATGTTGAATATTTTTTTATGAAATTTGGTACAGATTTTTTTCAGAGAATGCCGAAACAAACCGTTTTTATACTTGCTTTCTCTTCACTCTATTTTCTAAGGATCCAATGCATCCAATTATTTGGACTATGGGGCACAAAAGGTTAGCTAACTTTGTTATTCTAAGCATAAAATGAGCCTCTGGCTTCTGCTCTCATCAATTTTGTAATAATCAAGGTGGGTAGAATATGGTGTAATCACAGACAGTGTTTTTTTCTCCCAAAATGCTTGACCGCAGATTCCGCAATAATGGCATATTAGTTCTCAGTTGTCCGCAAGATGGCGACACTTTACAGATTTCTTTCATGACAGAAAATGGTGCTTACACACCGCTTGCACCATAAATAATAATAGCATAACATTCATAACATTACCTCAAATCGAATGAGATTAAATTTGAAAGTAGGAAACTGTAATGTTGGTAAATTTTAATCATTATCAGTTTTACAAAACTTGAATTTTGGTTGAGATTCCGCCATCTAACGGGTGAGATGCGACCTATATTCCGCGATATTGAAAAGAATCCTTCTGTCAAGTAGGTCGTCGATCAAGAACTTTGACCGAAGAACAGTACATGGGATTTGATAAGAGTTTCTACGCCATCTTCTCTTCATCCTGGTGATAATAATAATATTGATTCTGGATTTTTCAGCCTCTGAGTGTGATCTAGGAGGCCTTGCATTTTAGAAAAAGTGGACGTCGCTAAGCTCCAAAATACGCCTTTTCCCTGTCCACATTTCAAAAAATTGTCGAAATCTCTCCATGAATAGAAAATATATGTGGGTTGTCCGCTTTCAAAAGGGGTCGCTCTGTAGATTAACACTTTTGATCCTTTAGGTTGTGGATTACAACGTGTTCCCTCTCCTAGGTTTCTTGATGGCAAAACGAAATTGCACCGTTTTCCACTCCATCAAAAACAATTGCGATCGAGCCCTCTTCGAGCGCATCCTAGATCTGAACGATATTCCCAAAGAACGCTTCCACATTCTCGACGAATTCGTGTTGGATGCCAGCGAACACGACTGTCTCTTCTTCTGTGACGTCATCAGCCGTGACGGGTTGTTGGAGAGCAGGTGAATTAACTAGCGTTTATGGAATTTCCATGTATTAATATTATTGAGAGAACAGTTTGTATCTACTCACTGAATCGAAAGAAGGCGTTTCCTCTCATTTTTGGAAACAAAGTTGTCAATTTATTCCCAGCACGCGAGGAACAAATATTAAACCCCCAGCAAACACGTTACATCACATAGCAGTTTCGTGAAGTACCAGATTGCAAATGGAAATATGTTTTCATTTTGATTAGGCATATTTGTTCTGAACGTGGTAACTCCGAGACTTTCCTTTGTTAACAAAAAATCTAAGATGCAGTGATAATTATTTCAGGATAATAATGAACACTGGCGCACCCAGGGGGTGGGCTTTAGGGCTCGAGCCCCCCCCAAGACAAAGTGTCAGAAAAATATTTTTCGCAAATATCAGTGTCGTTCGTAACAGAGTAATAATCAGGTTTGCCTAATTCTTGCAATCCTTCTTGAAATCCTGGCAAAATTTCCAATCTTGTCAAAATTTCCATTTTGATAAGCGAATTCCGTTTATGGAATTATAAGTTCAAGGAAATCGATACCCGGCCACTAAATGCCATGCAATGCTACATAGTTTGTGATCAAACTTTATATCCTAATATAAATATACTCCTAAAAATTTTTGTAACACTTCCCATAACTACCAGTACGGCTGAAAGGTCATTCTCATCATTGAGAACATTGAAAACTTACTTAAGAAGTACTACTGCGCAAAACCGGCTGAATGGTCTGGCATCACTTTTTATTCATAAAGATATATCGGTGTCTCCTGAGGAAATATTAGATAATATGACTTCTAAAAGAAGGAAACTAGATTTTTAAGAATTGTTGATTTTGCACAAAATGTTTTTACCTTCAGAATGATTTTTTAATAGAAATTACATATGTATCATTCTGTTTATCATTGTTTTTCATTTTCCCAGAATTGAACCCTAATTTATATATTTTACTATTTTCATTGGCTTCTATGAGCCCCCCCCAAGAGAAATTCCTGAGTGCGCCAGTGATAATGAATGACCACAAAATGTGTTAAATTTCTAGTTGAAAATATCGTCATCGAGAAACATCGCGACGAAGTCTAATCGAGAAATTCACCATATCAAAAGGAATGGAATGGAGAAGTCTCAGAGAATCCTCGCATGAATGGGCCTCATGTGATCATTAAGAAGACATTTATTGTCTCAAAAACTTTCACACTGACTATATGGATATATGTATTATTTGGGCTGTTTTTCCAAATCTCAATTTGAACAACACAATTGATGAAATGCGGACTTGATGTCGCGGACATTTCGCTGCAAATAAGAGCGATAGGAGATGTTTTTGTACATCGCACGGATCGCGGATTTTAGTTGCAAAATTACTTCCATAGTACTTTACAGTTACTGCCCAGTGTTTGCTGCCCGTGGGAGGTGAAATAAATTGGCTTCACCATGCATACTCTGGTGTCGATATACCGATGAAATCTATGCAATCCAAGTAATCAGTGTCTTTAATCATAAAACAAATAACAATAATATCGTTTTTCTGCAACCGACACAAAAGTCGTCTATTTTAATATCAAAATTAGCTCTTGAATGGGCGTTTATATTACTGACATAAACATAGTTATGTTGCTAGGCAACAAGTTCAGTTCCTAGGAGCTAAAGTTGAACTCCAGATATAAATACACCATATTATAGTTGAGTATTTTTGTTTTGATCAGGAAAGCCTTCAAGATTCACTTACTTGCTGGATCTGTATTTCATTCGTTATTCTTGAGATGGATAACTTGTTTTTGAATAATCACGGCCAGCGATACTTGTTTGTCTCGCACAACGATATTGTTTAGCTACATTTGATCACCGAGACAAGCACAGTGGAGTATGTACTTGTATGGGGAGAAATAAATAATCCCTACTATTATTGTTGATATGCTCACTAGCCTAACATTTTCTACGTATTTTTCCTATAACTGGCACTGGCGCGGTATTTGCTATTAGGGCTGACACCTAGTCCATACTCAAATGGGTCACTCTGTTGTTGTATTTATATTGTAACTTCAATTCGAACAATCTTGAAAATTGAATAAACCTGATATGTAAATGCAGGTAGAATGTTCTCACCACACGGATTATTTGTGGCATTGCATACATTGCGTGCCTGTAGTATCTGGATTACATGATGCATGTCAACACAAATTGATATCTACTTACTCATATAATTATAATGAAGGTATTATAATAATCTGTCAAGTGAGTCATATTGGTGGTTACTTCACATATTAATTTTAATTAATTCTTTCGGTTTCGCTGGACGCTCCGCCTCACAAATTTAAAATTTGCTTGTCAAACAAAGTATCACTTTTGATCCTAATAAAACAATCTACTGTATTGAATTCCAATGACATAAGGCTTCTTCATATTCCGAACGTACTGCTAACCAGAACTTAAAAATGGTGTTACACAATATACAAATGAATTAATTCATGATGCCAGAAGTGTCGAATTGACTTTCGTTCTAATGCTGTCAAGTCTCCATGGCATAATCTACCTTTATATTGCATAATGATTCGGATCGAGAGATAGACCGCCTCAAGCACAATATCTAGAATGATACGCGTCGTGCATCAAACTTCACATGTGGGAGGAAATAGATACTTTCCTCCCTTGATATATAAATAGCTATTACTTCAATTGTGCAGACATTCTTTCGAAAAATTGCATAAAGTGAGGTTGATCGATATCCCCAAAGAACGCTTCCACATTCTGGACGAATTCTGTTGGACGCCAGCGACGACTGTCTCTTCTTCTGTGACGTCATCAGCCGCGACGTGTTGTTATGGGGAGCAGGCGAATTAACTAGCGTTCATAGAATTTCCATGTTTTGATATCATCGGGTATTTTATTCAAATTGGGTGTACAGTTTTCACTTCAACAAACCTCTTCAGGCACGATTGATAAGCAAAAATTGCGTGGATTTTCAGCATTTTCATTGGTCAGGTCATAGTAATATTTTACATATTTATTGATCGATTCGATCACAGAGTACATGATATAGGACAAGTCAACATTTTACAATAGGAACAAACATAACATAACTTAACAGATAACATAAATTCGTCCACAGAATATGGACACTTCTAAAATAAACATTTTAAGTTGTCTCTTGAACAGTTTTTCTTTTCCTGACTTAATGAGATCCTCTGGTAGAACATTATACAACTCAAGCCCTAAGATGTCTGTAGCCCTCTTTGATAGGTTTAAAAGGGCAAATGGGATATGAAACTCACTTTCATTACGAGTGTGGTAATCATTATTTTTAAGAATACAATTTTATACTTCTGCACATTGAATCTAGTATTTCAAGAATGTTTGTATAGACCTGAAAGAGGTAGAATTTTATATTTTTCAACAAGAGGTCTAACATGACTGTGTCGGTGACGCTTCATCAAGGTGCCAAGCTGAAGAATCCAACTGAGGAGTCGATATTTCACTGGTAGTCAAGTTAATGTTATGATCATTGATCATAATTTTTGCAAATAATGGCTAAAAACTGAAACTGAACAAATTTCAAAACGCCTGTCAAATCAATATCAAAATAATGATATTTTTTTCATAATAGCAAAATCTACTAATATCAATTCTCATATTTTTCAAATACCTACGTTCCTACGTGACACCCCTGCCGAAAACAAAATTGAAGTGTTATACAGGATGTTTCAATATTTATCTGCAGGTCATAGAACTGATCAAAATAAAAATATATATATATATATAAAAATAAAGTTTTAGAAGTTTGGGCAACAATAAGCGATCAATATGCTCTTTGAATCTTGTGCATATGCTTCGATGTATTTGCCCAATATATTCAAGGTCATTATTTCGATTCAAAATTGTAAAGACTATTCTAATGATTATATTATTATCATTATTAGTGGTTTCGAGATGATGGAGCCGCACGGAAGGTCAGTGAAGATTCCACAAAGCATCACCGCGCATGTGCAGCTGGTTCATTCGCTTTACGTCGAAAGATGCAATCTGGTGATGGACGAAAACGTACTAGATTTCAGGATCGGAGAATTCATCAATGATTATTCGGTAAAATATTTTCATAGTTGCCAATCAAATTCTATCATACTGTATTTTTGATTGTCCCTTTCTCCTCAAACTGAATTGGTTATTTAGACTTTTTTTTCAAAGGTCCAGGAATATGGAAAGAAGATTTAAAATAACCTCAGGCGCATATACTCATTACTTTCTGTGCCTTTTTCTCAAAAAGTTCGACATTCTTCACTTGTGTCAAAGATTTCTCCGGGTGTTAATTTCTCAGTGATGGTGAATATTCTAGGATACCTGAAATATCTTCGATACCATCGAAAATGAAATAAAACTGCGATTTCCAAGGCATTGTTAAATTTCATGAATAAAAATGCTGTTGACAATGTAAACACCCACGTAAACATATGAATGAGAAGAAAATAAGAAAAATAGTTGTTGAAAAAATGATCATGTAAATATTTTTTGAATGTAAAAACGATAAGTTTATACCTTTGCCATGGATTTCCATCGAGTATTGGTCGAGTCAATTCAAAAAGATAGTTACCTATTTATTATACAAGGGAAAAAAGTAGTAGATTTTAGCTCCAGGTTGTGTTGTGAGCTAAAATCTAATATTTTTCCCGTGTATAATACACAATTTTTTTCTGTGACAGAAGGAAGGACGAATCAATATTGAGAAGATATTACATTATTTTGAAATCTGAAAATTATCGACGTGAAATTTTAAGTTTTTAACAGTAGGGGACACCTGCGTTCTAGGCATCTTTATCATTCTTTTTGAAGTAATCAAATATCATGTCACTTCTGTCAGTCTAATTCTGCGATTTGGTTTCAAAAAATTGCGAATTTAGTGGTTGTTTCGTAATATATGTAACCGCGAAGTCCAATGGAAGATAAAAGGACTGCTTGCAGTTCTTTCTAGGAGACGGTATTATTGACTCATTTTTCGGAACTATAGCACAACAAAAGCCATCAACAGTGTATATATATGTGATATTTATCCGGGAAAAAAGTAATTTATGAAAAGTGACATTTTATAACCTGCCAACAGAGATGAAATGCCAAACTTTTTTCCCGTCACAGAAAAAACATATTTTTTGTTTTCGTTTTCTGTGAACTAGATTTTGAATGCATAACAACAAATGTTTCAGGGTTACGAGCACCCTAACTTGGAGAAATTGCAATACACTGCACATTCTGAGCCGATAAAATTTCCACTGGCTGGAGACGGAACGGCAACGTCGCGCGTTACCGTTAACCGAGAGGGAATCGTGAACGCCCTGTACGTCTGGTACGACGTTCAGCTACACGATGACATCGTTTTTTCCACGAAAAACAGCACGCACTACAAGAAAGTGTGTTTTTTCTTCAAGGAAAAAGCTAAAGTGCAAGTGGGTGATAATTTTACTGTGAAGATGCAACTGGACGGGTCTTATGTGAAAATATTTTTAGAGGAGAAAGAAATAAGTGATATAAAATATGCCGGTTGTTTTATTTTCCTTCAACATTGATTCAAACTGATGAATTTTCAAATGAACATCAAACTATGAAAAGGCAGATTAGAAATGAAGTATATAGATTGCAGTTTCATAGCAGGGTTGAAGAAAATCATTTTATTATTATTATTATTATAAATAAATACCCCGCAAACACATCTGTTATATTTACATCACTGTTATATAACATCAACGGAACTTTTTTATATAAAATATTTACGTAAATATTCTATAACAATTCTAAAATATGTGAACCCCATAATTATATATAAATGTAACGTAACTATGATGTAACTGATATGTGAAAATTAATGTTTAGGTATACCTAAACATTAATTATTCAACTAGTTAATGAGGAAAATTATAATCTATTATCTTCTTCAATGATGAGACTAAGTTTGTGAGTTCATTTCATCAATAAGTATTCAATTTTTTGATCAAATATTCTTAGACATTACATTTTCAGATATAAATTAATGAGATTGCATTTCAGGATTCAGAACATGGATTTTCATACACAGAATGATGTGAACATTTTTAAATGGAAGTGAATTTGCAGCTAAAAATAATTTGGTCTACCATGAATGCCACAGAAATTGTGGAAAATCAAAAAGAAAATATTCTTTTGCCATGTATGAGAGATATTATGTTGGATTGTTTCAAAATACATCTGCTTTCTCTGATTTAAGAATCAATCCATCAATTACTGAAAAATTTTTCAAGGCAAGGATAAAAATTCTAAGTGAAAAGATGATCATATCACAATATTAAATCCATTCAGAGAACATATTAATTCAAAATGTTGATTGATATATCACCCTTAAAGCATATATCAATCAATGGTTCAACCAAGTCATTGCATATTGATGAAAATTCGAGTGGAAAATTGAAAAATAGAGATATCCTGCCAGAAATATATACAGTGTGTCCCACTTTACCATGCTCACCATGGGTATCTTTTTAACGGTGAGAGATACGAGGTCGGTTAAATGACACCAAATGTGGAGTTTGTCAAGGCCAACTATAATGTGAAAAAATATTTCGATAAAATTTATTCGTTTTTGTTTTATACGCAAAAAACAGATTTTGATCATTCTCATGTCTCCTCTGTAACTTCTTTATTTATGAAAATATTCAAATAGGAAATTCACATTCTCATGGCAGTTTTTCAAAGTGATTTCGAAAAAAATATGAAATTTATACCAACTCATTTAGAATTTGAGATATCAGCACCAACTTTAGTTTTTCAAATGTAGGTCATAGCTCACTATACGACTTAGTTACAAATAACTTCTTTTTCTCTTACAGATGATATATTGCAGTTATAATTTTGTGTTGATAACAACGGAGTTATCGTCATTTATACAAAAACAAAAAATTATTTGGAAGCCGCCATGTTGAATTTATAAATTTGAAAAAAAATCATGATCTCCGACCTCAAAAACCCCCACTTACTAATTTTGAATGGGCTTTTTGTTGAAATGAAAAAAAATGGCTGCTCCAAGATGGCGGAGAAGATTTGGTCCGATTCCATTCAAAATTGGTGAGTGGGGGTTTTTGAGGTCGGAGATCATGATTTTCTTGTTAAAATTAATAAATTCAAGATGGCGGCTTCCAAATAATTTTTTGTTTTTGTATAAATGACAATGACTCCGTTGTTATCAACACAAAACTATTACTGAGACATATCATCTGTAAGAGAAAAAAAAAGTTATTTGTAACCAAGTCATAGTGAGCTATGACCTACATTTGAAAAACTAAAGTTGGTGCTGTTATCTCAAATTCTAGAAGAGTTGGTATAAATTTCATATTTTTTTCGAAATCATTTTGAAAAACTGCCATGAGAATGTGAAATTCCTAATTGAATATTTTCATAAATAAAGAAGTTACAGAGGAGACATGAAAATGATCAAAATCTGTTTTTTTGCCTATAAAACAACAAGGAATAGATTTCATCAAAATATTTTTCCACATTATAGTTGGCCTTGACCAACTCCACATTTGGTGTCATTTAACGGACCTTGTATCTCCCACCCTTAAAAAGATACCCATGGTGAGCATGGTAAGTGGGACACACTGTATATCAATCAATGGTTCAACCAAGTCATTGCATATTGATGAAAATTCAAGTGGAAAATTAAAAAAATAGAGATATCCTGCCAGGAATATATATATTTCTTTGAACTTAATCAAGAAAATCATATAAAATTCAATTCAAGACATATATTTTTCCATTACAATTTCTACAATCAATCTGGAGTGGCAGATGTCTATATTAACACTTGAGTATCAACCTATTCAAATGATTTACAATGAAAAATCAGTTGGAAATCATACCATACTTATTAAAATCATAAATAAATCTGTCTTATGTACAAGCCTTTCTGCTCTCATTTATTTGAATTTGCAGTGAGCAGATTCAGGAGTGCTGCTTTTTCTTTCTCCTTTTTCTTCACTACATCTATGCACCTGTTTCTCCATGAACTTTTCCTTAGTTTTATTGGTCTACTCCCCACATAACGTCCTAAAATAAAAATATCAATGAAAATGATCCCATTGTTCAATTCCAAAACCATCTTACCATTCACTTCTTTCATGGCTTTGGTGAAATCAGCAGGATCCTTGAAACTGACAAACCCATACCCTTTACTCTTATTAGTCCTCTTTTCTCTGATAACTTTGGCCTTTTGGAATGAAGGATATTTATTGAAGGTTCTAGTCAAGAGTTCATCAGTCACATCATTTCCCAAATCCCCACAAAATATCCTGAAATCATCTTCTTGCCAGTCAGACAAGGAATTGTCTTCCCAAGTTTGCCCTCCTGCAACCCTCATAAGCTTCCTGTTCTTTGAGCCACGTCTTTTGTAGTCTTCTGGGCCAAAAGACTGTAGAGCACTACTAGCTTTACCTAAAATACCAAGAACATAATTCAAATTAGCATCATTTCATCGGTGATTGAACAAACCTTGTGAGATGGCCAGCTCTGCACTGACTTTTTCATTCTTCAATTTCTTCAACTTCTTCTCCACCTCAGACTGTAGGGCTGAGAAATCAACAGACTGCTGATGTGTTGTAGAAGGAGTTGGCATGGTGACTTTGGGGGGCGCGTAGAGAGCAGGCTTTGCAGTTACAACAGCAGGTTGGGCTACAGTGTGCACTGAGGAGTACTGATCATATTTTTTGGCTGATCGGTTTATCTGGTGTGGGACTAGAATGGGAGGCGTTGGAGGTGGAGGTATTGCACCGAAGCCAGGGATAAAAGTTGCACCAAAACCGTTCATCATCGGTTGTCTTGATATTTCAGCCTCAAACCTAGAAAATGATGAGTTTAGGGTAGTTTTTCATTTGAGGGGTTTGATTCAATGTAACTACCTGCTCATTTCATCTTCCATCATTCTGAATTTACTTCTGTCCATTTTGATACCAGTCAAATGAAATTACTCCTAATAGTCCTAATCTATAACTAATTAATAAATTTATTTTCTTTTTGCTAACAAAAATAATTGTCAAAAATACGATCAGAAACGTTAATGCCAATGTCAGTTGTCACTTTTCAATCTTCTTCTGTTTTTTTACTAAATTACATCAAGGCCTCGAAGCATGTGCTAAAAATTCTTCTTCTTTAACTTCGGAAAGTGAAATAGACATATTCAAACTTCACATGCAAGAGAGAAATGAAAAACATCTTGTAATTTTGACATTTCATTTCTTCTGTTTTCAGCAAAGTCAGCTTTCATTTTCTTTTTGATTTTGCGTTGAACGCTAACTAGGTGAGTACTGGAATTTTCAATAATTTATCAAATATAATAGTTTTCACACAACAAATTCTCATTTTTATGTTGAATTGTTTTATTTCCTTTGTGTTACGGCTCGCATTTGGTTCCAAATAATTTCAAACATTGTTTTCCTACCATGTGGCAATCCTAACCTCAACTAAGGAACCGTTTTGTTTTCAGATCCAACAAAATGACCAACTCAAAGGGTTACCGCCGCGGTACCAGGGACCTGTTCTCCCGCAAATTCAAGAAACGTGGAGTCATCCCACTCTCCACGTACATGAAAGTCTACAAAGTCGGAGACATTGTAGACGTCAAGGGAAACGGAGCCGTACAGAAAGGTATGCCCCACAAAGTGTACCACGGAAAGACAGGCCGAGTCTTCAATGTAACAGCACACGCCCTAGGAGTTATTGTAAACAAGAGGGTGCGCGGCAAAATCATCCCCAAAAGGATCAACATTCGCATTGAACATGTTATTCACTCCAAGTGTAGGGAAGACTTCTTGCAGAGAGTGAAGTCCAATGAGAAATTGCGTAAGGAAGCTAAGGAGAAGGGAGTTCATGTTACCCTGAAGAGACAACCTGCCCAGCCTAGGCCTGCACATATTGTCAGTGGGAAGGTGCCTGCTATGCAGTTGGCTCCCATTCCATATGAGTTTATTGCTTAGGTTAAAGAATATTTTATAAAGATAACATTAAAAACACTTTGAAGTGGACTATTCTGTTTGTTTATTGCCCACATTTTATTGGAAAACAAGGTATTTCAATGAATCATTTTTGAAAGCTTTCACATAATCATCAGAGATTGGACAAGTATATTTTTTCTCCTCTACATTTCAATGTTGAATATATTGGCAAGATTTATTATCCCACCTGAAAGAGAATATACAGGGTGTCCCGTAAATCATGGATGAAAAGAAGAGGGGATCATTTGCAATCAAACTAACTGTATATGTGGTTATTCAATTGTTGATGGTTCAAAAGTTATTCAACTTTTCTGAGAAACATGACCCATTTGAAAGTTAATTACAAAAAGGCTGTTTTGAATAACCCATGTTATACCATTTTGGGATCTGTATTAAAAAAATTAACAACTTTTTCTTATAGTCCCTTATTATCATTGTGGGGTAGTTTTTAAATCTGCCAGTGCATTGGAAAATCAACTGAAATAACAATTTCATTCAACAAAACTTGAGAGTAAAACACAGGCCATAAATATTATTTTTGGGGAATGGTACATCCATGTTGATAAAATTTGTAGAAGAAAAAATCACAAATGTGAGTCATTGTAATTTTTTTTTATACAGGGTGTTTCATACCTATAATTGGAAATAGTTCTACCATATAATCCCGAACTCAAAATATGAAGATTTAACCCAAATTAATTAGAGTTACAGGGTGTTTTATTCAAAAATTTTGAAATGTTTTTCGTCCAGTTCTTCAAAACTATTTGACGCGTATCACTTTCATATTTTGAGGAAAGTGTAGGTCGTATTATACATCCAACATCCAACTGAATTATGTGAAATGAACTTTTCTAGCTATTACCAGAGGCGTACGACAGGGGCAAAGTGACTGGATGGTTGATCCTTCCCAAATTCTACGCCACTGGCGGAATTACAATTTTATCAGAATTTTTCGGTTCTTTCAATACCTTCTTCGTAAATATTATACTCTTTCTTTATAGCGATAAAGTCATCATTTTTCGAGATATTACAAGTTGAACATGAAGCAGCACAATTATTTTGATTTTAATGTGTATTAATAATGTCGATATTTTGGATCAATGGACTGCATTCATCAATCAAATGAAACTTCAAAAAACATAACAAACGGGAGCTCTGTTACAGGGCGAATTCAATAGTTCCTGAAGCAAATTGCTAGGAATTTGTTTTCTGTTGAATATTTGTGATAGAAAATAGGCGTACACCACCTATCGGAGTTCTTGAAAGCTGCCAAAGCGGCCTGTTCTGGTTGTTGCCGTCAGATGGCTCGACGTGTTTTTTCATTTCCTATCCATTCAAATTTTTATCAAACATTTAACAAATTCTCAATGCATTTCTCTTACCATTTTTTTCATGTTCATATTGAAAGTATTCCTTTTCAAAAAATATTTTAACTGAATCTATGGTGGGATAGTTGACAGAGAAAGCTGCAGTGTAGTATAAAATATTTATTTATAAATAAAATAGGGTCTCAAAATGTCTAGGAGGTATATTTCATCATAATTTTTGGGTTAATTCAGGCACAACCTTGAACAAGTCAGCAACTAACCCAAAGTCAGCTACTTGGAAGATGGGGGCCTCAGCATCCTTGTTGATTGCAACAATGGTTTTGCTGTCTTTCATGCCAGCCAAGTGTTGAATGGCCCCTGATATTCCAACTGCAATGTATAGATCCTGAAATTAAAAAAATAATAATAATGAATATTGTATATGACAGAAATATTTAATGATTCACACTGTACACAGTTTACTTATTACCAGAGATACTTACAGGTGCAACTATCTTCCCTGTTTGACCAACTTGCAAGTCATTGGGGACATAGCCTGCATCTACAGCAGCACGAGAAGCCCCAACAGCAGCATTCAGCTTGTCAGCTAGATCATACAGAAGTTTGAAATTATCCCCAGATTTCAAACCTCTACCTGAAACATAAAATTTGCTTCACTAGTAGATAAAAATGGAACTTAGAAATATTTACCCCCACTAACAACAACTTTAGCACTTGCTAATTCAGGTCTGTCTGACTTGCTGAGTTCTTGGGATACAAAGACAGTCAGATCAGTTGCACATCCATCAGCAGCAATTACTTCTGAGCTAGCTGAACCACCTTCTAGAGCAGCTGGTGCAAAGCTTGTGCCTCTCACACTGAGAACTTTAATAGCATCTTTTGCAGTCAAGGTTTGTATGGCATTTCCAGCATAAATAGTTCTGACAAAAGTGTCTGGTGACTTTATTGCAATAACATCAGAAACAGGAGACACATCCAGCTTGGCAGCAACTCTTGGAAGCAGGGCTTTGCCAAAAGCAGATGCCCCAGCCACAATATGGGTGTAGTTGAATTGCTTCTGAGCACTCAGTATCAGATTAGTTAAACTTTCAGCAGTGGAACCCTTGAAAGCTTCATTTTCAGCAACTAGAACTTTTGATAAGCCTTCAGCCTTTACTAAGGCTTCTGATGCCTGGAAATTAGATGAGTATGATTGAAAAACCAACTTTCATATAACAGAGGGTACTTACAGGACCACATTTTGTACCTGCAATTAGAACGGATATGTCTCCGCCAAGTTGTTTAGCAGCAGTAATTGCACTTTGGGTTTGAGCTGATAGGACTTCATTATTATGTTCAGCTATTACCAAAGTGCTTTGGAATCTTCTCAACTGAAAATTGATGAATATTAGTACAAATCTGGCCTATGGCCTTTCCAATGAAATGAGGACAGGTGTCCTTCCTCAGACCAAGGTGAAGGATTATAAATCCCAGGGGAGTATTTACCTGAGATCCAACTTTTCTGGTACAATTTGTTAACATTTTGATATCCAAAAACTAATATCAAACTAGTCAATGTACTGATGAGATTATACTGTGCTAAAGTTCAAAGTTCAGTCTTTAGATCGAGATTGAGAAATAATAATTATAGAATTTGATAACATGTAAACATTAACAAAAAATGATTGCAAAAATCACAAACAAACTGACAGATAGGATAGATATAAATGACAGAATGATCAGCTGATAAATTACAAAAACCACAGAATGAATTATCCCATATCACAGATATCACGAAAACGTAGAAGTTCCCCTTATAGACTAATCTAGACCGCCAGCTGCGCATTTAGGAACTGTCATGTTGCACTGATGAATCCGAGGAACATAGGCGTATCGAAGGAAAAAGGTTGGGAGGGGTCTACTATGAAAGGTTGATAAACCATACATAAAGTAGTGAGAAACGAATGAAACATGCCGTATTCAGGTCTCATAGCTTCCAAATTCTCAGATTGAAGAACTCAATTTCACAAAACGGCAAATTTGCATGTGGTTTCAATGTCCTTGATTTGAAATGATCCGAACATTATCATCCTTCCTGAGTGGCTAAAGTCCAATAATGGTCTCCTAATAGCCTCAAACCATTCATTTCTCTTATTCTTAGGAACGCTAGAATCATTTTATTGATATGAGTACACTTTTAATCCAAAATCGTCTAAAATAGATGAGCAGATATGGCACCTCACACCTTAACTGAAATTCTTCACAGCTGAAAGAATATACAAAACATGCATGATTCCATTCGATTCAAATACTTGCTCAAATGATGAAAACAAATTAAAATAATGAATTATTCATTACCCACAAACTCACCGATGAAAAGAAACATCTTCAGTATAGGATTGGTGGAAATAAAACGAAAAAACCAATATCCCCAAAACAATTAAGCCGACGCCATCCATTTTGTCCCGCCTATGAACAAAATGGATGCTAGGTTGATTTCGATACCACGTCAAAGTCGTGAATGACAGCTTGGGGTTCCTGCGTATTGAGCAGAAGCGTTTTCAGGCGAGCAACTGACCCTACATTTTCCGGTTGCTGTGATATAAATACTAGTAATTCGTGACGTAGTCTTATCCAAAATTTCATGTTGGGTTCATTGAAATGTATGTATTATTCTAGATCACAGCTGAATATACTGGAAGACAGTTGTAATATATAATTCCCATTCTTATGAAGCCCAAATGGAATTTTCGATGGGTTTACGTTACGTTACGATTACCACCTATCCTCATCGCGTTTTGCTGATTGAGGCAACCATCCTTTAAAAATAATCAACTCTACCAACCTTGTTTCTATCAATTAGACCCATAAACTGAGCGTTATTTGGTCCATTTTAGTCTAGACTTATAATAAGTGTAATAGATCTGGAAATAACTCGAATTTTAGAATCAGGAAAAAAACACTACCATGGTACTAAAAGACAAAAAAGCTCCATCCTTCGCAGAAATCCACTCTTACCATACTTTAATCAACTCGCCGTTCTTTGGGAAAGTCTTCAATTCCTTCCAATGCGAACCGAAGGATAGAATATGATATTCATAATGAAAATGCAAAAGAAATAATCATTTTATTTATTATTAACTAACAGTAATCAATATTTACAGAACAAAAAAATAAAATCTGCTTAGCAGTTATTTCGATATCAATGCACTATATAATGAATTTGACTTCATTTTGACTTCATATCTTAGGAAAACAATTTACAATTTACAGTTTTGGAAAAACTCTAAACAGCTTTTCAGAAATATAAAAGATTTTGATACAGTAGGTAAGATTTGTTTGAAATAATAGGACTTCATTTATATAAACATTTTATATGTCAAATATATCCCATGCATTCACTTTATATCTTGCTCAAAAACAATATGAACAATTTCATGAAAATAGAGGAAAACATTCAATTATTTGTTGTTCTTCATAGTAGTTGAACATTAGTGAAATATTCGTAAAATAATCTACATAAAAATCTTTCAATAGAATTTATACACCTCATGCACCGATATTTTCAGCAGATTTGAATACAAATAGAAAATTTCAACAAAGGTTGCCTTGAAAACTTTTGCATACAGTAAAATATTGCAGGTATACACCTAATTTTGAAATTATCTATTTGAAAATGTAGTTCCTATACTAAGAAATATGTTGTACATAAGGTGTATAAACATAATATTAGAATACCTTTCTTGAAAATTGCATGATTACAAAATATAAATTTTCCAAGTGATTAAACTGAACTACTTATTAGTTATCTTTATGTGCCTTATCAAAAACAATTAAGGTAAATATTTTTAATAAAGTCGTAAACAAATAGTGCATTAATTTGCGAAGTATTACATTTACAGGATGGTATTAAAAAGTCCAACAATATAAAAATTAGATGAATTTTTCAGCTGATGTGAAATTTCAATAAGTAGGTAATGCAATTTTCAAGGTGGTTCCAACATAAAAAAGTACGGATGAAATAAATAGAAGGTGATCAGAAATAAAAAAAAAAGAGAAAAATAAATAACATCTTCGTATTCATACAACTAAATTCGGGTATTTAGTTTCACTGTCTTATATCTGGTTTGGATTATCTTCATCATTTATGTAAGGCGGTAGCTCCATCGGAATGACTTTTGGCTCAAATGAATTCGGTAAATTTTGATTGACAACTCTCAGCCTACCAATCAAAATTAGTGGAAACCTTTCAAAACATGAAAAAAAAACCTGCTACAAGTGGTTCACCGGGACTTTATAGGTGTAAAAGTGGCTCAACATACTGAGTTGAATCAAAAAAGTAAATAAATTCGAGTAAGAGAAGTACTCTGACTTTTCATAAGAACTTGTTGGGACTTGATACTCCATAAGACTCAGTGATCAAAAATTCGTGACTCCTATTGAATCAGTGAGGTAATGAAAACCTATAATCCAAACATGAATCATACACTCAATGTGACCCAATATTTTTGACTAGAAATGCGAGTGAATCAAACAAATACCTATCAAGAAATTCAGCAACAGTGACTAAAAGCAGCTTTCAACGAACCAAAAATAATGTCACCTGTGATTCACCAGAACTTGCCGTGACTATGACAAATTAAAAATGTATAACGTCAAAATAACATACCTTTCAAGGTCGAATAAATAAACCTTGATAGAGAGTTGAAGTAATCACTGTACGTAGACCTCCACGTAGACGTTCGTACGAAAAATAACGTTTACGTATTGTCGTTAAATTGAGTTGAAGTCGCCACTTTGGTCGTCACTGTCATCATAACGTAATAATACATTTTGTTTTTGGTTTGTATTGGTCATTTTTTGTTGTGTATTTAGATTCGAACATTTATTCCTGTCAAAATTAAAGGACTCCTTGATGCAGAACTCATTGGTGATCTCGAATTTGATAATTTTGACTCATCGGCATATTTCGAGTATAGTTTGTTTAACGTACGTTGATATTTAAGGTATACGTGAAGGAACGTGAGATAACGTACACCCGTAAGCCCACTAACAACGCAAACGTGAAGAATTCGAAAATGCGCATGCGTAGCTGTCAATTTCTACGTTTACGTTAACGTTCATGACAACACTTCAACTCTCTAGTGACTCAAGACGAACAGTATTCCTAATGAGTCAAAATTCACTTAATTGTGAAAAGCGAGATTCCTCGAGGAAAATTAAAAATCTTATTTAATGGTGATCGATTCCGACTTGGACCAGTGGATCATTAAGGGATTTCGTTTTAGAACTTATGACTCTTAAATAACTTACCTTACTCAAGGTCGAATCAATTGACCTTAGAGACCCAACAGGACACAAAGTATTCTCAATGAGTCAGAATTGACCTATTTGAAAAAAGCGAAATCCCTCGAGAAATACTAATGAAAAACAATAATTTAATGAAGATCGACTAGGACTTGGACCAGTGTATCATAAGGGGACTCCGTGTTAGAACTTATGACTTAAAATAACATGGATTCCGTTTTAGAACTCATGACTCTTAAAATAACTAACCTTTCAAGGTCGAATCAATAGAACTTAGTGACCCAACAGGAACACAAAGTATTCTCAATGAGTCAGAATTGACCTATTAAAAATAGAGAAATCTCTGGAGAGAAACTAATGAAAAACAATAATTTAATGGTGATCGATTAGGACTTGGACTAGTGAATCATTAGGGGACTCCGTGTTAGAACTTACGACTTAAAATAACTCACCTTTCAAGGTCGAATAAATAATGCTTAGTGACCCAACAGGACAAAAGTATTCTCAATGAGTCAGAATTGACATTATTGGAAAGAGCTAAATCCCTCGCGAAAAACTAACGAACTATAATTTAATGATGATCGATTAGGACTTGTACTAGCGAACCATAAAGGGAATCCGTATCAGAAGTTGTGACTCTTAAAACTGAGTCCTAAAACAGTATTTAATCTGATTTTTTTCCGTCTCAAAAGTACTTTTATGATCTACCGATTCCCACGTCCAAAAGTCATTGCCACCGCCTCACCTGCTGACGGAACGGGGTGGGGGAGAAAGGGGAGGGGGCATGCGCACGCTAGGAGAAGGGTACCCACTACGTTTTGTACTCGGATAGGACTCCTAACCTGTTCAGTGCTCTCTGTTTAAGGCAACTCGCGCGGGGTGGGGAGTCTCACAGGCTCTCGCGGCTCTGATAGAAGAGGATGTAGCCCGTCTCAGAGGATTTCTGAGTGTCGGCTGTCAGGCCGTAGAAGTCTTCTATCGTCGAGGCGTCTATTTTCTGAGATGGAAAAAGCTTCAAGTAGTCGACAAAAAATTGGAAATGCAAAAACTTTACAATTGGCTATTCCACCCTTGTTCTCGATGACCAATGAATCGACAATTTTCACGATTTCTTCTGCATTACAGCGATATTTTTTGTTTACTAAATTTTATCGGACTTACTCTACCAATGCAGAAACAGATAACATTTTTGACATTGAAAACGTCAATCATGTTGGAAGCCAGAATGATGGATGCAGTGTGCGCAACTCTCGCGAGGCGTTCTTTTATCGTCTCAATCATCAAATTTTCATAAGAATACAACTCGATAAATATATATATCGATAACTATCGATATATTGATAACTATCAATAACTATCGATTTTTCGATATATTATAAGGATTAGAAAGTTATCGATATATCGAATATTCGAGATAGTTCTGTCGTTTTAATGTTCATGAAATTGTGTTGCTGTACGGCATTATAGCTTTTGTCTGGATATCACGGAAACGTCTAAGATTCACACAATCAAAATGAGTTTATTTATACCGATATGTTGAGAAAAATTGATAATTATCGATCCTTGTATATCAATATATCGATGTTATCAATATACCAATATTTCGATATATCGAGTTATCGATATTTATCGTATATATCGATTTATCGATATATCGTTACTTATCGAAATATCGATGTTTTGACTTATCGATAAACGATATGTGAAATCTAATATCGCCCAGCCCTAATTGGGGCAACTCTGTTCACCCTATTTCTCCTAGTCCTAGTTATGAGATCTTGTTCAATTATAATCTCAACTATGTGAATTTTGTCCTGAGGTATATATTGGTCAGACCGGTAGAACGCTTAAACACAGCATTCACGAGCATCATACGAGTTTTTCAAGAAAGAAAACATATATATCAGTGTGCTGTGTACTTACATCTACTTGGTCATCGTCGAAGAGTAGCCAGAACCCGTGACTCTTGACTATACTGATGTAGTGCCCCCTATTGGGGCCGCTGCCGCAATGGATCACCACTGCCACCAAGTCATATAGTCTGTCTGGGTTCAAAGCGTCATCAGACTGAAACAGGATATACTTTTTTTCTGATACATTTTGTTTTTTCAATTATTCAATGATTAGATATTATGGTTGGAGAAAAAAACTCAGTAAAAACTGTTGTGTCGTGAAAAACAATGAGATATACAGAGCTTTTCTGAAACTGGAGTAATAAATGCGGGGATAAACAGTTAAACCCCCTGATTCTCTTGTGAACGTAAATAACATTATTTTATTCATTCAAAAAAAGGGTGGATATCTTGTTCTTTATTTCTCACATCATTTTTCAACTGTTGGAAATTTTGAAATTGATTCAAATTCATTATTTTCTGGAGACAATGAATGAAAAAATTGAGTCCATCCCGGTGATTTGAAATGATGTGTGGAAGTTCAGAAGCATCATGATTTGATGAATTTTAATGATGCTGGTTTTCCTGCAAAGGGCAGTGCCAAAAATAATTGAACTCTGATATCATAGCAAATTTGATTAGAATCACAAGGCATTTGAAGTGAGTCACTGTATGTATATTTTGCAATATCCTATGTGTGATGTATGCAAAATATGTAGTAATGTTGGTGGGAAAATATTTCCAGCAGATTATTTACCAATGGTTGATTTTCCATATGGAAAATTGTATGCAATTTGAATTGATGCTCTAATTCTACATAACAGACTAATGAAGATACCATAAGTTTCTGAATTTTTAGTCTAAGTTTTTAAACAAATAATTATTGTTTCAAGAACAGAATTTCTGAATTTTGGTAGAAAATTGAAACAATAAAACAATCTGATTGTAATTAGAGTGTCTTCACACTGAGGTTATTTTACCATGAAAATAGCATGAAATTCTCAGCAATATATGTATCAGATATGAATAAATTGAAACCTATAAAACTTGTTTACTACATTGCTAGTACATGCAGAATTATGTGAAAATATAATCTAATATATAAAATTCTCCTGTCACGGTCACGGTGTGGTCGAACTCCTCCGAAACGGCTCGACCGATTCGTATGAAATTTTTTGTGCGTATTCGGTAGGTATGGGAATCGGTCGTAATCTATTTTTTAAATCGAAAATTCAAAATGGCGGATACAATATGACGGACGAGTATAGTTATCCCATCCGATTTCATTCAAAATTGGTACTTGGGTTTTCGGGGTCGGAGATTATGAATATTTCGTCAAATTTTGGAAATTCAAGATGGCGGATCCAATATGGCGGACAAGCTTTGTGATTATGGTCAGATTCCATCCAAAATTGGTATCTGGGGATTTTCGAGGTCAGGGATTATGATTTCTTATCAAAATTAGGGATCTCAAAATGGCGGATCCAATATGGCGGACGAATTTTGTAATTATGGTCAGATTCCATTCAAAATTGGTATCTGGGGGTTTTCGAGGTCAGGGATTATGATTTCTTATCAAAATTAGGAAATTTCGAAATGGCGGATCCAATATGGCGGACGAATTTTGTAATTATGATCCAATTATATTCAAAATTGGTATCTGAGGGTTTTCGGGGTCGGAGATTATGGTTCGTTCGTCAAAATTTGGAAATTCGAAATGGCGGATCCAATATGGCGAACGAGTTTTGTAATTATGGTCAGATTCTATTCAAAATTGGTATCTGGAGGTTTTAGAGGTCGGAGATAATTATGAATCATTTGTCAAAATGGGTGAATTCAAAATGGTGGATCCAATATGGCGGACGAGTTTTTCAATTATTATGATCAGATTCTATGCAAAATTGGTATCGGGGAGTTTTCAAAGTCGGAAATAGTGATTCTTTTATAAAAATTAGGAAATTGAAGATGGGGGATCCAATGGCAACTGAGTTTTGTAATTATTATCCGATTCTATTCAAAATTTATATATGGGTGTTTTCGGGGTCGGAGAAGAATTAGAAAACAAAATAAAAAAAAGTATTTTGATGAATATTTAACTAAAAAAATATTTTCTAGAAATAATTGTATAAATATTAGTTTGAGAAACTAATGAAACACCTTTTTATAGATAGCCAAACTAAAAAGAAGTGAGTAGAAAATAAATAGAGCAGTTTGAAAAACTAAATAATCCCGCTTTTATTGATTAACAAACTAAAAAGAAGTAGAAATAAAATAATGAAAGTTTTCTGATAAATATTTACCTAAAAATATTTTTCTAGAAATAATGTTTATGGCAAAAACGTTTGCCGGGTCAGCTAGTAATATATAATTTTGAGCAGCCAACTGTTTAACTAACATGTAAACTGGAGTTGAAAATTCATCATTAAACATATTATGTCATCAATTCTACAAACTAAAGTATCATAAATGTTTGTGAAAAAAATTATATTTCAAACTCTGAAACTAACCGTATTGAAAAGCCTAAGTTCCAGTGGAAACACAACCCTGTGGGACACTTTGATGTGCCTGTTATACTGTTCCATGTACTTGAACCTTTTCAGGTGCAATGCCAATATCATAGGCAATTTTTTGACCCTCATCCTTTTCTGAGCCTCCTGGTAACTGCTGCAGTTGTCACACTTGAACTTCAAACAAAATATAACATCAATGAAAAAATTATTATGTTTCCCACTATTTTATCAGTTCAAAAAATTTGAGTTCAAGTACCTTGTTGTCACTACATAGTGTCTCTGTGTTGCTGAAACAACGAAGGCAGTGAGTGATGCTGGTGTTCTGTTCAATGTCTACTTGAAGGTCAAAGAAGTCTTCATCCTTGCTGCTGACATTCTCACAGTTCAGGCAGCGTGTCTCACTTGTCAATATACCCTTTAGAAATATTGATTTGTTGAGTTGAGAAGGATTGAAAATAAATTGAGCCAATTTACCTGAAAAATCTCATGAACCCATGTTGGTTCAGGAGAATTATGTGTAGTCCCATTCTCTCCATTACCTTTTGATTTCACATTATTAGTTGTTGAGTTCTGTTGTCTTTCAGCTGAAACACAGTGGCAGGTTCTCATTTCACATCCACAGAAACTCTATTCCATATCACTCACCTAAGATAATTTCACTAATATGGTTTATAAGAAAATTTAAAAACTCATGGGCATCTTGCTGCATATAGTTGTCAAACTCCTCTGAAATCAGAAGATAGGTATGATAAAACCCTAATCAATCCACAATACTGAATCAAACACTAACCTTTTTCTTTTCGTAGCCTTGCTATAAACTTTTTTGGTGCTATAGAACCTACTTTTTTCTTCTGGGTAGCTATACTGTGAAATAAATCTGCAAGGCATGTAAGCAGGGTTTCTTTGGTCCTCTTATTCTTTGCTTTGTATTCCAGGACTCTCTCTCTGAATGGTTTGCAGAAATATAAAGCTTGTAGCACTGAGTTGCTGTAGCAGGTATTACCAAACTGAAAACGTAAACACTGATATGTTTGGGCATCAAGGAATTGGAATTTACTCACATTGACTAAGCCAAAGTAATGCTCGTTGCAAGGAAATTGTTCTGAACCAATGTCTCGTTCTAATTGGGATATATTAGCACCCTAAAACGGAGAATTCATGATATTTAGCATGATATGACCAGGTACCATTTCATCATGTGAAATAGTTTACCGATACGCGAATCAAAGTTATATGAGTTACGAGTTGGAAAATGTAGGTTGTTTTACCATATTTCAGTTGCTAATCCATAACTCTTGAATGGAAATATGGGAATTTAATACAATTATTATACGAGAGCTCTCCATCTCTTCATTATACCTTTTTGATGATCTTTCTGATAATATGATATGTATGACATGACAATTGACTTGACAACATGACAACCATGACATGACAAATTACCAAGTGACAGTGACATAAAATTGATGAATAGCGACATCTTTCGTGCATCTTACAGACGGAATGCAAAATTCAAATCTACCGAACACTCGTAAAGAGTGATCAGAACGATTGCACACGATTGTGTAACCATTGTCTGCTAAATATGGAGCATGTAACTAATGAACACGAGAATGTGAACTTTTTTGTCGATTACGTTGGGAATGGTTGGGAGGACAGCTTTGTTTGTGGAACTCAATTTGCAGGCAATGAACTCAATGTAAACAACATTGAGTTCTATGTTTGCAGGTCAAGGCTATAGGGTCCCTTGATGGAAATTGATGACTTTAACATAAATTTCCATCAAGGGATTCTAGTAATCAAATATCTGTCAGTCTAATTCTGTGGTTTGATTTTGAAAAAATGCGAACTTTCAGGGCAAGGCGATATCAATGAAGTAACAATGAAGGCTCGTGCGTACGGTGGATATAAATCTGCACTGCAAGATTGTAGTTCTGTGGTCTCACTGCTTCACTCATAGTTCTATGGATAATGAACATTTAAAAGCAGGAGCGGCCCTAGGAGGGGGAGCACCTTAAGAGCGAATAGGCCATAACAGCCAGCGTAGAAAACGGAATTATACTCACAGCTCACTATCTACCAAAAATTTGAGGATTAATATTTGGCCATTCACTATTATACAAGAGCATTCAATAGTTTATAACGAATTATAAAATATAAGGTCTTGTTAGAACTCGATATATAGATAGCAATAACCACGAGGAACATTATTTATTTATGATACAAGAGAAAAACGTATTAGATCTTAGCTCGTGGTTTTGTTGTCTCCCTCCGTAAAAATCTGTTTCCCATGTATATATATGCACTATATTATTTTCTGTGATCGAAAAAACGACGATTTATAGTATCAAGAAGATATCACATTCTATTAAGAATTATCGATATTTGAAGTTTTTAACCGTGAGGCTGCGACAATAACAACCAGCGTTACGGGAATCTTTCTGCAGGCATATTTGTTGCTGTTGAAACCTTTTGAATAAGTAATAAAATATTTGTCAATTTGATTCTGTGATTTGATTTAAAATAATAGCGAACTTAGTGGTTGTTTAGTAGGTGGAATTGAAGATAAAAAGGACTTGCAGTTCTTTTTCGGAGACGGTGTCGTTATTGGCTTATTTTTCGGGAAAAAAATACTCACTTCTTTCCCGTGGGAAAAATGTAATTTTATGAAAAGTGACATTTTGTAACCTGTTAACAGAGATGAAATGTCAAACTTGTTTCCAGTCACAGAAAAATAAACTTCTCATATATATGGTGTAACAATGCCCTACACTTGACTTTTTGATTAGTTGAATAAGTTTCTCAGTATTTTGAGCTTATTCAGTACCTATATTGCCAAAAAAATATTTTCTTCTTACTCTGGCTATCATTTGATGTCCGATTTTGAAAATATTTGATGGAAAATCATCATCTAAAATCAACTTGAAGGAAGATATATCTTCCCGTTTGAAAAAGCAGCAGTTATACTATAACCAGAGATCTATAACTATAGAGTCACTGGATGGTATTAGTAGATAACTGATACCTTCCAGTGACTCTAACTATACCTATATATAGCACCATTGAAGAGTGATTACATTCGTTTTTCATTCAATCAAAATCGGACTATGTAAATAATGAAGCGTGCTATACAGGATGTTTCAGAGTTGTGATCTTTATAAAAGCCTAGGCTCTCAACAAAATATGAAAAGAGTTCATATGGATATGGGTCCAGAAATACTTCGTTTCCGAGTTATACAGGGTGTCCCGTGACTCGATGCCCATAGCTTAGAGGCATATTCCTTGAACAATTTCAAGTCAAAAGGGCCTTATACTTACACTTTTGTACAAAAGTCTGAGTTGAGGAGTAATGAGCAATATTGAATCTAAGCGAGTGTGTAATGACGCAAAGAGAATGTTGAATAAAGTAATGTAATAATTTATCAAATCAGAATTCTTTGATTACTTACACAAATTCAATCAAGGTTTTGTTCAGAATCAAAATGTGTCCTCGCAGCTTCACAACATAATATATTCTTGCTCGTCTAATTATAGAAAACGTTGCTCTCTGAAGAGATCTGGGTCGTCTCTTATGGATGCAGCCACGATGCAGCTAAAGTCATAATATTTGGAATTAGCTCATCTCTTTTTTGTTTCTTTGAATAAACTAGATTTTTCATGGATCCCCAATAATAATATACAGGGTGTCCCGAAATAAGCCTGCCAAACGACTTCACCTGCGGCTTCTACGACAAAAAATAGGAAGAAAAGTTTCAATGAACATGAGTTGAGAAATGGGGGATACGGCCCCCTGAGAGGGGACATCTGAAGATGACATTGCTTGAATATTTTCGAAACGCCATATGAAAAAATAATATCATTCGAAAATTTCATTCAGAAGTGTATAATACATGGTGGGACTACATTAAATATTGCTCAAACATTTTTATATGCATATTTTTCGACAATTTAATCTCGGATTATAAAAATCCACACCATTCTACAGAAAAAATGTGCTCTTGTTTCGTATCAATCAGATGTTCAATTTTCAAGTGGAATCGATTTAAATACAGGGTGACATAGTATATTGTTATACACTCACATCTTATTGTCAATTTCCAAATCATAGTGGCTATAAAAAAACAACAACTTTATTATCACCAAACAATCTCATAGAAGCGCGTAAAATAGAAAAATCATGATAAAAAACTACTTCAACTGTCGTGCTCTTTTTTTCATATTCACTACGATTGATTGCAATGTTATGCATAATATTTGAGATGTAAAAATATGTTTGAATCGTTTTTACTCGAAAATGATAAATCTGATCGATACGGAACAAGAGTATCTATCTATTACTGTAAAGAGGTGTGGATTTTCATAATACGAGAGTAAATTGTCAAAAAATATGCATATAAAAAACTTTGAGCAATATTTAATATAGTCTCTCCCTGTATTAGACACTCGTAAATGAAGTTTCGAACTGATTTTATTTTCACTGCATTGGGCATGGAAAGTTTAGTTCTTGTACCGAATTGCATCATTTTATCACATGGCGTTTCGGAAATATTCAAGAAATATCATCTTCAGGAGCCTTCTTTCAGGGAGCCGTAGCTCCCTTAGGAGATCTTTTTAGAGTCATGTTCATTGAAACTTTTCCTCCTATTTTTTGTCGTAGAAGTCGCTGGTGAAGTTTGATAGCCTAATTTCGGGGCACCCTGTATAATAGTATGGTCAGGTGACCCCGGTGCGGCCAAAGAACTAGAACACCTGTTGCAATGTACTGGTGAGAAAAGTTGTAAATAAATTGCTCATAACTCCTCAACTATTGAGTTTAAGATAAAAGTGTATGAAGTACTTTCGATTTGAAATTGTTCATGGAATATACCCTTAAGCTATGGCCATCGAGTCAAGAGACACCCTGTATATCTTGAACAAATATTCATCACAGAGTTTGAAGATTGTATACATTTCAATTATGTGCATTACATTTTTGGATAATATCTAAGCATTATTATTTTTCCTTATGGTGCTTTGAGATAGGCCGAGGTATGGTAGTCCGTTTTCCTCGAAAACGAAGCAAAATACTCAAAAGTGGGACTTTTTATCTATAAAAAAGCCTACTTGCTCGCTGGGTATGCCCCTGGAAATTCTGGATCAAATCAAATTGGTCCAGTGAATTTCTGATAATTTTGCATGTGAATGAAACATAAAAATATCATTCAAATCGGCTCAAGCGTTTTCAAGGTAATAATGAAAAACTAATTTTTTTCGCACCCTGTATTGGAAACGAAGCATTCTCGGACCCATGTTCATAGGAACTTTTAGTTCTGTGATTGAGAAGAATCTTCCCTAGATCAGTTACACTGTATATCTATGCATATGCCTCATTATCTAGAATATGAATTTTCAAATTCTTCAACAAATTAAGTCCATTGAAATGATGTATACAATTTCCAAGAAATCATGGACGCAAATTCTGATGCAAATTTTCCGATTGATACTGCATAAATTTATTCTGGAATGTCAGGAAATGTTTTTCATTTTATATTATATGCTGAAAATAATAGACATAGACAAAGACAACAAAATTCCTCACATAGTCGAAATTGGTTCTGAAAACTATATATAGGAGTGAACATTTCTCAATAGTACATCAAAGCTTCATCAAGATGAAGTCAATCATATTGATCATTTGTTTTAGTGTGGTTCTTCTTCAAGCCAATACCCTGAATAATAATGGTAAGCAGTTTCAACCATAAAATGATTTACGGGAATATTATTAACTGATTAAAAGAAGGGTGGAGGAAAAGAACAAGGAATATTTTTACAGAAATTGAGATACACATTGCTTTTTTTGTTTGCTGAAAACTCGTATAGTATATTCGTAAACATGCCTTGAAATATCTTGTTAAAAACATGAAATGTCCGCCCGCGGAAATTTCATAGAAATATAGGAGAGTCCAATGAGTTCAGATCAGAAGGTACAACCAGAATTCTTCGCAATTTGAATCAGTCTTTACCATCTATTAATCAGTCACGTCTGCATCAGAAGTGAACAAGAGTTTTTTGTCTTCGAAATAAACGTGATTAATCAATATAGCAGTGAATATACACACATTCAATGATTTTGAAGAGATTTTGTGGACCTGAAGCACAGATT